CCTTAGACCGATAGGCAAAAGTTAGGATTTCTGAGCAAGCCATTCAAGTTACCTCGTAGTGAATTGATTTGCATAGAAATTTTGTATGAAACTGGTAAAATTAAAGCAAGCGATGAACTATACCATGAGTCGATTCAAAAATTTTTTTCAGCGAGTAACTAAAGCGGTAATTACAAAAAAATTTGAATATATTTCCTTGTATGAATCTGTTTGCAAAAAAAAAACAAAAGTTCATTGCGTGATTCGGTTCTCAAACTTTTAATGGAACGAATCCACACGAAAACGAAAGAAGTTTTCCAAGAAAGCTTTTTAAGCAATAAAAAAATGAAACAAAACGAAGTGGTTTTCGTAGCTTGGATTACTTCGCAAAAATCATTAGGTTGAAGCAAACAATTGAAGAGCTGAAACTTTCAAAATTTCAAGTTATTTCAGAACAAATAGGTTTGCAAAATATTTAAGTTTTTCAAAGCAAGCTATCCAAGAGATGAAGTTTCGAATATTTCAAAATTAGCGGATCCAGCAAAATCTGCAAAGTCCGAGTTTAAAGCAAGCTATCAAAGCGATGAATTAAGTTAGCAAAAATTTCAAGTTTTTCTAAGCAAGGTTTTCAAGTACTGCAACAAAAAAATTCAGTTTTTTCATGAAACGATTCGATTCGTGAACAAAGCAAGCTTTTTCGAGCAAGCTCTTAAAGAAATGGAACCTTAAAAAATCGAAGATGTTTTCATAACTGAGTTGCTTCGCAAGACTTTAAAAGTCGAGAAAAAATGAAGTGTTGGAATTTTCGAACATATCAAATTATTTCAGACCGAATCGTTTCGCAAACACTTTTTTCTAAGCAAGCAATCAGCAATTTTGCAGATTATTTCAAAGGGAGAATTGGTTGGCGAAAAGTTCAGGTTTTTCGATGTTCCAGTAATTTAAGAAATTTGAAGTTATTTTCAGAGCTGTGGTTGCACCGCAATAAAGCATAGTACTTCAGGAAAGCTATTGAAGTGATGAAACGTGAAAAAAAATCAAGTTAAGTCATAGAACGAATCGGTTTTCCGAAGATTCAAGTTTTTCTAAGCAAGCTATCAAAGCGAAAAAAATTGTCGCAAAGAAGTAGTTTTGTCTAAGCATGATATTAAAAAAAATGAAACTTTTGATATATTTCGAAGTAGTTTTCATCGCTTGGACTGCTTAGGAAAAAAGTTGTTATTCAGGCCAGCTATTGAAGCGATGAAATTTTGAATTCTAGAACAGCCTTGGCTTTCTCTTAAGCGTTGAGCTTAGAGAACTTTTTTAAGCATTGCGCTCGACAAAATTAAAAGACTGTAATATCAAACAATGAGTCCAGAGCAAATTCCGACTTCCATTTAATATATAGGATACAAGATTTGGATTCAAGCAAAAAAACTCGCAGTTTCTAAGAAACTGGTCAACTTATTAAGATTTCCAAAAATAAAATTACGGCATAGTAGTCACTGAGTTACTTCCACGCTGATTTTTTACAACTCCAAAATTTTGTTTTTATACTACTTTAAAGATTATAAGTATCATACGTTGTTTTTTATTTCCGAAAACATTAAACTATACACAATACACCTAAACTAAACTATAAACTAGACTGGATTCAAACTTGAGCTATAGCCAAGTTGAGCTAAACGGACGATATCATTTGCACTTGCCGTGTTCCACGAATGACCTTAATATAAAATAAGCAATCAAAAGCAAAACGCATAAAAAGAATACTGTGAAAAATCGAAAACAAAATTCCATTGAAAGTATTTTAGCTTTAAATTTGCAAAAACCTGTTTCAAGGAGCATCAGATTGAGAAATATGTGTTCTAAACATTTGTCGTAATTGAGAACGACAAAAAAGATGAAATTAACGAGCTATTTTAAACAATCAAGAGTATCAGAGCATATGTTCCTCAAAAAATTTAATCCGTGAAAAAAAACACATTCGATTATGGGATGCAGGAACTGCTCGAAATATTAAAAAAATACCAAGAGAATCGATATACATTTCCAAAAGGAAAAATCATTCCACGCAAACATTCAATATCAGGTAGAAAAGAACGAAATCGATTGAAATCGGGCATGCTTTTTCTAATGACGATTTCCCAGTGGGTTCTTTGAAGTTTTTTTTTAAGATTTTTTGAAAAAAAAGTTAATAAATAAGTTCTACACCTCTGAATCCAATGAAGGGTGTGATAAACAAACTCAAATAAGGATGATGACGATGATGATTGATGATGATAAATAAGACCTATAGCCGAAACAATTTATAACACAAAAGCGAAGCCGAGCTTCGCACGACTCGCGATGCACAACAATCATAAAAAAAGTAGAAAAAAAAAGTTGAAAAAAAAACAAGGTGAACCAAAAAAAGTCTCGATGAAATACACCTCTGGCTCAAAATTTTTGACTTTTGCAATTTTTGAAGCCCTGACCTTTCTCGTACAAAAAATAGGAGAAAGACGCTTCTGTAGGAAAAATTGGCGCAACCATTTCTGGTTTTTAGGAAAATTCAAGAAGTTTTTAGAAAACTGTCAAAATCAAAAATTAAACTTTCCAAAAACCGGTAATATTTCCCATTACAAGCAGACCGTGGCTCGTAAAATAGAGAAAAATCCCATAATCAGATTTCTCGATTGAACACTTAACCTAAGAATTGGCGCGGTAATTTTCGAGTAAACTCAAAAAACGGTCTAAGTTTAAAACTTTCATTTGTTTGAAAGCCACAACTGTTTCTCAGAAAAACTGAGCGTATCAAACTATAAAAGTAAGCTCTTAACAAACTGTTTTGTCGATTAAACGTATGTTATCAGATTTGGCATGCTAGTTAACAAGATAAGTAGTAAAAAAAGGGTCAACAAATCAAAAATTTTGAGATAAATGTCACATTTCCGATAATCATAGCTTTATGTGTGAAAAAATAGGGCGTAGCCGTTTATGCGGAAGTGATTCACGCAGCTTGTGATTTCGATTCAACCCAAAATCTCAGATTTGGGAGGGAAGTTCTCGAGAAAAGTTAAAAACATTTTTTAAAAAAACGGTCCAAAAATCAACATTTTGACTTTTCCGATGGCCAACCCTTTTCATATCAGAAAAAAATTGGGCGTGGTCGCTTAAACAAAATCTGAAATAAAACAAGCTAGTTTTCGAGAATATTCAAAGTTTAAAAAAACGGTCATAAAATCAAAAATTTCACTATTCCGAGGGCGATAACTTTTTCTGTTAAATAATTCTTGAGTGGCAGCTAATGCACGGGCGCTTCCCACTACCCCTTAAATTCATTGAGTCCATAATGTTATATTGGAGAGTTTGGTTTTCGGGAAAACTCAAAAGATTCAGAAAAACGGTCAAAACCAAAAATTTGATTATTCCGAGGGTCATACGTTTATGTGCAAAAAAAATATTATGTAAGAACACTGTAGTCACTAGTATCCAGCCAGTAGTTAAACTTGAATTTTCATGAAATTGAGCATGTAAGCGGAAAATCATGTCAGGTGAAGAGCACTGTCAAGTGATTCAACTTATTTTGTTAAACTAGTTGTTAACCAGAGAAAAGTCTACGCTCTGATTTGATAACGCTTAATGCGTAATAATTTTTAATGCGCTTTATAAACCGCAAAAAACTAGATAAGCTATTTTATTAACCAATCAGGTTTACACTAAAACTCGTGCCTTCGGTTGGAAAAACGGATGATCTTTCGCATTTTTGGCGCACTAAGGGGTCAGTGGATCGTTCCAATAAAAAATTGTAAACAAAAAGCGGCGACAAAACGTGAAAGAAGAAATTTTAATTACTTTTTTATTTAAGATTACTTGCAGGTCAGTGACTCTTATACCAAAAAAATTATAAGATTACTTACAGGTCGGTGACTCTTGTACCAAAAAAAAGCTCTTGTACCAAAAAAGCTCTTGAACCAAAAAAAAGAACAAAAACCGCAATCCATTAGATAAAAAAAATCTGTATTTTATTTTCGTTTCACGCTTACTAACGGTTCGGTGTCTTCACTTATTGGCTGTAACTGTGTATGAAAAAAATTATTGTTGCCCATAATCGAAATATTTTGTTGGACACTAAATTGCAAACAAATTATTGTTCCGACCATTGTAAATGTGGAGGAATTTTGTATTCCGGTGTTTTAGTTTTTTTCTTGTTTTCCACGCAAAATCAAGTACCAGAAATAGCCATCGGACTGCTTGAGTGATATATCATATTGAAGCTCTTTAAGTCGTAATTCAAAATAAATTTTTTAAAAAATTGGAAAACTTTTTCCCAGTTTCGAGAGAACAGGTTTGAAATTTTTGATTTTTCGTCTAAATTCGAGCTAATAAAGTGAGCCAGCACTTAGGCATTTAAAGCGACCATTTAAGCTTTATTTAGGCCTTTTACAATAGCTTACTTATGCTCAAACTTAATTTGCTCGAGTAAGTTAGTTGTTGGAGATTTTAATGCCATTTTGGTAATCAAAAACTTCAAAAATTCAAAAAAAAATTCTTCAAAAAAAATTGAAAAATTGAAAGTTTTTTATGAATTTTTGTTGTTTTTTTGGTTATTTTTTTTAAAAAAAATCTGTTGTTCTGTTTGTCTATATTACTATGACTGTCGAATATGACTAAACTATAGTTTTACGTCAGATCTTGTTATCACACCACGCAGAAAAAACTACCCTAATATTAAAAAAAAACTTTTTTTTCTTAAAGGTTTTTAAAGATTATGGTCGGAACATTCTGTGCTACTTGCACAGTAACTGGCTAACCTTGTTATTATTATTTAAGTTGTTTTTGCGGAAAATGTTTGTTCATGAATACTAACCGGTCTGGGACTTCAGTGACTCGTTTTTATGTTCAGTGGACCAAAATGTGTATATGCTTATGTGTTCACTTCTTTCCTAATAGGAGGGGATTCGCTACAAGGTACCATAGTGGGGGGGTTGTAGTTAACAAAATCCAAATTTTCAAAACACAAATGGCACGGAAAATGTTTGTTTATGAGCACTAACGGGTCTGTGACTTCAGTGCATGAGCTCTCTGTGAAGATGACCTCTACACTCTCGACATATTCGAGAGGTTGGAGAGGCACGAGTTTGAAAAGACTTCCCTCTGCAAACGAGATGTCATATTCAACTGCATCCGCCTGAAAACAAAAAACAATCATGATATTGTTCAGCGATTCGTTAGTTAGTCATTATTATCACTAGTTATTGGTAATAATTTAGTGATCAGTATTTATTAGTAACAATTTAGTTATAAGTAATTTTTATTGAATACAAATTAGTTTCTCAGCAACAAAGTTGCATTTGAAATATTCCATGGTTAATTTGAAATCATCATTTAACATATACCTCAAGTCGAAAAAATATGCTCCTTTTGATATTTGTAACAAATTTCTGGAACTGTTTTTGAAACCGTACAATTTCTTGAAAGTCGAAGTTCTAATAAAAATTATGAAAAAAATGTTTAAACTTATAACCATCGTCATTAAAATTGCCATGAATTCCTTCGTGAAAATACTTTTATTTACTTGGTGATTGAAAATTCCCTCCCAAAAAAATTTCAACTGAATCACCAACAGTCTTTGATAAGCATATCCGTGTCATTTTATAAAGCATTTTTTTTGAATTGTAATAGTGAATTCTTAAGATTTTTTGAACTGTAATTGTCCTATTAATTTTTAAGATTTTGGTTAATAATTTGGCACTTGAAGCAATAGTGTGAATGTAGGAGGGAGAGGAAAGAGCGGGGGGGGGAGTCTTACCGCATCGGGACTCTGGGTTCTAGTTGGGTTGAAGAGAGGTCTGCTGTCTGTGTTGACCATTCTGGTTTCATTGTCTGTCGTCTGCTCGAATCCCTGTGCGAATCCCTTTCCGCCTGACTCCACCCACACAAGTTTCACCTGCAATATTATTCTGTCTCGAATTATTATTACCAAAATAATTATAATATTCATAATCATCATAAAAATTATGCCTACGAAGCGTTTCTTATAAGAATTATACGAAATTTCACTATGAACGACACTTTAGTAAATTTAAAACTACCTGGGAGATGGCCATTAGATCTACAGATCTGTTTTCAGGCGACTTAAAAAAAGGTATTTTCCAAGAGGGCTAACTTGTTCAAAAATCGTATAAGAAATCTATTCAACATATGGTAATATGAGAAAATAAGAGGCAAAAGTTAAAAATTATGTCATTAACTTTGAACAAAAGAGCTTGCACAGAGATCATGACTTCAAAGCAATTATTTACTATGGGAAATTTTCGATACTTAATTAATATTTTGTAGATATTATGAACTTTTTAGGTCAGCCATTTTGCATCTCTTTCGAAACCCCAAATCCACAAAAAGTCCCCTATAAACACCATACCGTCTTCTCAGAGTCTTTTGAAAACGCGCCAAGCGATGTTTTCTTCGATTCCGAAGTAAGTTGTAAGTTATATAATAACTATGTTTTTTAGTTATTGGCCTGAAAACAATCAATTATTAGTATTTTAACCCATAAATTTATAATAAATTCGTTTTCAGGAAGAGAACAGACTCGATTATTATTTACACAACTCATAGCCGATTATTTACACAACAATTTGACCGATTTTCTACCTTTGTGGGGTAGCACGCTTCGCCAGATCCAGGCACCAATCTGAGTCCCACTTCGTTCAGTGTGAATTCATCGGTGTCGTCTTGTCCGCTGGTCAACACGAAACTGTACGAGTACTCGAATGAGTCACCAGATGACTCTTCGGATGCAAACACGGCTCCTGAGGGGTTGTCTTCTGGTTTGACAGTGTCAAGCACAGCTGAGGGGTCCAGGTCGGTCTCTTCCACTGAAAACAACGAACATGAATTATTCGGTTGTATAAAAACCAGCTGAAGTATAATTCAGAAAAAACTTATTGTTTGAAAGAGTTACGTAACTATTATGTAACAGTTACGAAAGTCATGCACATTTCATTTATATGACATAACTTTTCGGCTGGTTTAAATGCTTTTCGGGTGCGCAATTTCGGCTGGTGTATTTACTCTCGATTTATTCACATGGAAGGAAACCAACGTATTGATATAGCCTCATGCTTTAAAATATTTTAACCCTATGCTTACACTCTAAAAGAGTTAATTTACCTACAATGCTACAATAGCAGCTTAATTTAAACGATTGCTCAGATAGATTTATCTCTAAAGTCGTTTTTATCTGACGCAGTGGTGTTGTGTCAAGTTTTCGAAATAAATCAAAAACTTGTAACAACAATAAAGTTTTTTTTTTGCTATCTATGAGAATTGAGAACATTACGAGGCCAAACTGTGGACTGGATGCCAAAAAGTAGCAATGTTGCGGATTCCGCGACAAGTCTGATTTTGGCCTGTTGCGGATCCCAGTTACAATGCATAGAATGCACAGTTTGGCCTCGTAATGAAGGTCAAAATAAGGACAAAATTAAAAATAATAAAAACTTAAACGCAATTGACTAACCTGCGTCGGTGTCGGTGTTGATCTTGTACTGGACTACTCCAGTTGGGACCAGGAGTTCCAAGTCTTTTCCGTCGCACAGTTTCTCAACCGTCACATTCTCTTTCTTGCATCCGTATACCTATCGAGGAGAAAGATAAAAAATGTAGTTCGATTGATGACCACGCTGTAATTGATGTCCAAAAATAATTTGTTTAGTTCTGCTAAAAATTGCTTGTTTTTCATTGTTGGTACGCAATACATTGAGCAAAATTTGATAATTTCCTTTGATTCAAAATTCAAAGTTAACAGAATAATCTCAATTTCATTTGAAAAAACTTCGTGAGAAAAAATGATTCTGTATGAAAAAAATGCTACAAATTAAATTTTTTATTCTTTACCAATTAACTAAAACACTTTAACATTTGATCGATATTTAACATTTCAAATAGCTCAGATAGTTCCAGAACTGCTAAAAGATAAAAGTATCAGTTTTCTGTCTTCAGACAAAACTACTTTTTCTTATTCACTGCTTCAGGTGAAGAAAGCATCATTTGATAATTTAGTTTTGAAATTATTTTTTCAAAATTTCTGGAAAAAATCAAATAATTTTTTATCAATAAAATCTACCATATGTGTCACCTACAAATTAGATTTTTTGTTCAGTCAAATCTCTATTATCTTAGTTTCAGTGATTCACAGATGTTTTAAAACCATTCCTTCGCATTCTGATCTGAACTTGAATTTGAATTCATTTAGGTGATATATGAAAAATTGTAACAAGATATATAACTTGATTTACATTTCAATATCCCCAAGGACATACAAAAAGATGTTCAGCTTGTTGAGGCATGCCCTGATCCGTGAGTGGACATAATCTGATTTAATACTACTGCTTTCATGATTTTAAGTCTCTTGACTAAAGTGTTATTTTCGATTTAGATCTACATGGCTAGTTACCTAAATTTAACTGAAATCTATTTGATACGAGTGTTTGTTTACCTGCACTGTGCTAATGCTCAATGGAGATTCTGCTGACTCTACACTGATGGGTTTGATGATCACTTCAGTGACCAGTTCCAACTGCTCATCACTCAGACTAGAGAGGTCAAAGGTCATCACAGAGGCACCGAATGCATTGGATGTCTCAAGCACTGGAGTTGCAATCTAAGAGAAGAAGACATGTGAAAAAAATTAACAAGTTATAACAATTAATCATTTTTAATTAGCAGTTAATTAGGGGGGGGGGGGTGGATTATTCAGTTAGGAGCGGTTATAACCTGGTTAAGCGAGATTTCTTGAATTAAATAAATTACTAAACTGATATTAATGATTTATTAGTAATTACGCATTGATAATTACTACTTATAATTGACTCACGGCGATGGACTCGATGTTCTCCTCCTGGTCGGCTGGGATCTCCTCGGTGCTTCCGTCGTCAGTGAAGTAGACAATCTTGTCACTATCCACCACAAACAACAGCTGGAAGCTCAGCAGTTCATTCTGGTACGACGCACTCTTTTCCTCGTTCACAATCAACACACTGATCGGCACAATCTGCACACGAAAGGAAACAAATTTAACGCGAGTAATTCAATGGGTGAAAGCTCCAAAATTTTGGCATGTTCTCATATTGAAAAATATCTAGTTTGCTTGAGTTTATGATTTATTGTTCAACAGATCATCATTAACTTTGTATTAATCTGAAACAATTAACTGTTATTTTGAACTAAATAAGCGTCCTCTTCCCCGAAACCAAGCGCCGATTTGAAGGGAAGGAGGGCATTCAGGAAACTTTTCCGACACCAAACACTTCGCTGAAAGTTCTATTAATGATAAGAAAAAAACTTAGGGTCATTTTTTCAACACAAAATTCCTCTAAATATTCGTTTTTTCTCAGTGAGGGAAATCGAATCTTAATTAATTTAAAATAGGAAAGAATGATAGTTTTTTTTAAGAAGGGTGATTGTCGTAAGAGGTAGGGAGTGACTTTTTTTTGGGGGGGGGGGGGGGGTTGTGAAGTAAGGATGTTTCTGAGGACGTTTCTCGGATGATTCTCACCTCTTCAGAGAGTGGGAGAATGATGGGTGCCATGGCTCTAGTGGTGGCCACAGTCACTGCATCAGGGGCTGAGTCACTCTCCTCAACAGTCTGCTCCTCCAGAGCACCTTCTCCGAACCTAAAATGGAGGGGGATTAGAAGAACACGAGTAAAAGGAAAAGCAACAATTTAAGTGACATCTGGCTATACCGGATCCAGCCAACATCATTACCACAGAAGACTTCAAGAGGAACTTCCATCAAAATTTCGAACAAACAAAATTCATATTTATGAATTGTTTTAAAAATTATATTTAAACTGTTTTTGGTCATATTTGTAAAAAAAAATCATTTTTGTGTCGGATTTAAACTTTCATAACTATTCATTGTTCACTCTGATGATAACGTAATCTTTCATCAACAGAATGAGTTGCCAGTACGAGCAGGATATACATGGCACTAAACAATTTACCTCTGGTTGTATTCGACAGCATCCAAGTCAATCGGCACTGTCTCCGCTTTGTTCTCGCCAATTCCAGAGAGCGAACAGACAGGTCCAGATGTTGTGGAAACAGTTGAACTCTCTGAAAAACATCCAGACTTCAAATTTAAACGAAGTTCAAGTTCAAACGTCGAGGCTATTAATTTCATGACCAACATTTGAATTGGGCGGGTTTTGATTGCTGAAAAATGGTGAAAGCCATTTACAAATTACCACTTTGAAGACAAAAAAAATTGATGCTCATTTGCTGACACTCGTTTTCTCTGCCAATAAATTCATTTCAAGCCCTAACTACTGATTACGCAACTGTTACCTCATAACAAGCGAAATCTACTCTCTATCTGTTACATAACTGTTACGTAATAAATGACACTCTCTATCTATTAGATAATTGTTACGTAATGAATTACCTGGAGCGGCAGAGGTGGTGACTGTGGTCTCTTCGGGTGCGGTTGTTGTGGCCTCGGTTGTAACGGTAGTCTTCACACAAGCGTAACTTCCGAACGCCACTTCAACGACTGCAGCTCCTTCGATTGTGATGAAAAGTTTGACAATTCGGTCCTTGCCGTACAGCTTCTCGAACAGAGGGGTGTCTGAAATTGAAGCTCAACAATTTAAAACAGCAAAAGAAAGACGTTTCAAGACTTTTTTAATTTATCAAAAAGAATTATTGCAAACAGAGCAACATTAAAGAGAAAAACCAAAGAGAAAAACATGCCATTGTAAAAATATCAATGAGCAGATATAGGTCATTTTAGGTTTGATTATTTCAAAACATTTCAAATTCAAATAAATTTTAGAATTAACCACTCATTTGAAATTTGTGATTTTCGAATGCAAATGTCTTTGTTCATACCTGGGTTGAGTACTGGCAGTTGGATGGTCTCGAACATCACTGGCAAGTCGTCATCGTCCTTCAGACTCAGAGTGAATTCCTGAAAAATAAGAAAAAAATAAACTTTTCATCAAAATACATTAATATTGCGATTTTTAAATAAATCTTTAATCAAATAAACTTAATACATTGAATATTAAAAATTAAAATTGTTAGAATTTTTGCAAAATATTCTTTTGTCGGTTTTGGGAAAATTTCCAAAATCTGATTTTCATCAAAATCAATTTTTCAAACATTTTGGGAGGTTTGGTGAAACTTTTTGCATCTTTCCTGAAGTATCCTTCAACATCTTTTACCAAATACAAAATTTGAAATAAATTCAGCAAAAAATACAAACATTTAATACAAATCTTTAATATTTTATAAATAAATACATTTCTTGAAGACTCCTTCAACATCTTTTACCAAAAATAAAATTTGAATTAAATTCAACGAAAAATTACTAATAAAGTAAACTATTTCTCTCTCGTGACGTTATCGATTCTGACCTTGCAGTGTTCCTCCATGTCGCTCAGTGCCTCACTGGACAACTCTTCTCCCCCACTGACCAGTTCCAGCTGACTCATGTAGCTGTCTGGGTCCTCCTTGGACACACAGTACAGCTCACTGTTCTCATCCACCTGCGTCATGACGAAGAAGGAGAGAGTGGTGCTGTCCACGGCTGGGTCGTCCACGTCGAAACTGCAGAGAAAAAAGAATACTTTAAATCGGAAAGTGAAGTCATTACACAAAAGAGATTTGGAAATAAGGAAATTTTCTCCAAAAATGTCACTTAAGAAAGCGCCATAAGACTAACATCTAGCCTGTTTTCAGGCGTATCAGATTTAAGACAATTCAAAGCAAGGAACAGACATTATTGAATAAAGATTTTTGAGGCTTCAAAAGCGCCTAAAAATTATCATGAATCACTTAAAACTAAACCTCATAGTAAAAAATCATTCATACACTCGTTGATAATTTTTGGTAGTTAATGATATTTATTTAACTTTTTATCAGTTTTCAAAATTTTCAAACAAGAAATGTTGACTTAATTTTCTAATCCAAAATGCAGTAAAATAAATTTACAGTAACGAAAATTGTTTCCCAATTTGTTCAACATCACTCACTTCATGTTCATGACAACAGTTGTCAAATCAGCATCCTCGACGGCTCCGATTTCCAGACTGACTACAGCGGTGCTTGAGTCCAGAGGAACAGAGGTCTGATCCTCTGGCACAGGTGTATCTTCTCCGTCTCTGGTGATGAGGGTGATTTTGAGGCCGGACTTCATTGAGTCGTCATCCGCCAGAGAGGTATCGGAACTGGCACCTATTTAAAACATTAGAACAAATAATACAAAAATTCAATCACATTACTTGCTACTTTCATGTGCTTTAATTGAAACTTTTTTTGATAAAATAATTATTAATTTTAAATTTCATTCCGCTGGGAAATCTGAAAAGTAAAATCCACTCTCGAAACTAGAAGTCGATCACGTTTTTCGTGACCTTTAAGCTTTTGCTGTTTAACAAAGAAATTGAATTGAACTTAGAAAGAAATTTAAAGACAAACCGCCAAAAAGTAAATTTGAGCTTGAACATAAAGACGAAGCTGACTTTTTCCCGAAGATAGAGGCGAAGCAGAGAACAGATACTAAGAAATTTCCAATGTTACAGATCGTGATCATAGCAAAAATTCCACCAAATAATTGGACACTTTAATGAACTTTTTTGCGAGTTAGGTTAAAAAAAAGGCTAGTACTAATACACTAACGCTCGCAAGGTCGCTAATGTAAACAAAATCAGCGAGATCTATATAAGAAAGTTCACTGCGTTCATGACTCTTAAATGTTAAGCAAGGAATACTTAATGGTTACTGCAAAAAACTTGCCTAGTTGGCTATCATGTCTTTCAAAATTTGTGATTTAAATTCTTCGATTTTTAAGCTCCCACATAGGGTACCAAGGTTAGTAACATGGCGATTAAAATTTTTCAGCTTAGTCAATCAAAAAAGGACTCTTCTATGTTTAAGGAGAGGCTCAAAAATCATTTTGATCAGTTTGAAAAAACATCAGCAAAAACTTATTTTTTAAAGATCTGTCCACTTCTCGTGAAAAAAGAATCCTCGAAAGTGATCCTAGATTAAAAGGCTACTTTAGGATCACTTAGACTAAAAGACTACTAATATGTTTATTGACCGTTTTCCCATTTTGGCGTGTTTGGTTATTCGGAAAGTGCATAAGCAATGGTATATTTGGATAGCTTGACAAATTCCAGCATTCAGATGAGGGAATTCTGAATAGCATTGAAGCTATTTGATTAAAAGGGGAAGAGTTGAACCTGAGAGGTCGATCTCTTCACACACGTCAGCCCCACAGCCCTTGACGTCAACAGCTACAACCAGTCCATCTTCGAACACTCCGTCCTCGTCGGAGGGAGAGGGGGAGACAATGACTGTGACTGCGTCCAGGGCCACAAAGAGGGGTCCAAGAGTGATTGTCACTGTTCCGTCATCCTCAACTGGGAGCACCACTGATTTGTCAGTCTAAAAACATAAAAATACATTTTAAAATAAAACAATAACATAAAAATAACTTTTATAACACAGATAAAAAGCATTCAAGTATCATTTGAAATTTTTTTTTGGCTTATTTTGATTAAACGAACGTCATTTGAAAAACTTTTTGATGAATTTATGTATATTGTAGGGATTTTACACCGATATCGACTTGGTAGTGTCACTGATTTGTCTGCATAAAAATGCAAAAACTTGAAAAAAAAAGACGAAACAAGTAATGAAAACGACAACTTATGCACCTATTTCAGTGATAAACTAGCTCCAACTTGACTTATACATTTGACTTATATGAAATATGCTTTGATCGACAATAACAAGCAATCGAAACTTTCATTAAGAAGAGTATTTGTGAAATTTTGCTACCAATTCCCCGCCACTATGATACCTAATAAATAATTTATACCCCTGTAAAGAACTATATCAACGGTTGAGCAAAGATAAAATTGCTACCTAGTAATAAATGACCCCCTTTTTTCTGTTATACGGTCAAAAATGCCAAATTCTTAATCAAGCTTCTGTTTTTCATGATGCAAAACAAATTTCATTCCTCTGGAATTACATTTAACTTATCACATTTGAGCGGCAAAACCTACCTTTTAAATTGACAGAAAATTTTTTTTTGGGCCGTACAGCAGAAAAGACCTGAAATAGATTACAAGCTCCGAGGGAAGTATAGATAGTGAATCATAATAAGAACTCACGTCAAGGTCCACTGGTTCGAAAGATACATCACTGACTTCGTCTTCGCCTTCTGGCACCTCCAAAACAGCCTCCTGGACATTCTCGCCGAAACTGCAAACAAACTCTATTCTCAGAACCTCAGTGGATGAAAATAAAAATACGGGAATTTTTTTTTTTAATTAGAGAATTTGCTTCAAAATTTAACCTACAATCCCAAGTGGTTTAAAAAAAACAGCGCAACTTGCAATTATTATTATCATCCAAGGCTGGCCTAATCTTTACAAGCCATAAAATTGCTCTATTTCCACATCTGAACAAGCATAGCCGGCTACTGTGCAAGTAGCACCAAATGTTCCCAGCACAGTCTTAAAAAATACAAAAAAAGTTTCTTATTTATAAATTGGTGCCATTTTTTTCTGCATGTTGTAATAAAAAAATGTGAGCAAAAAAATATAATTTAGGCATATTTGAGAGTCATAGTAAAATAGCTTAATTGGAAAACAGTTTTTGAAGAAAAATGACAAGAAAAACGAAAAAAAAATTCTAAAAATTTTTGAAAAAATTTAAGAAATTTTTCAATTTTTTTGTAAAGTTTTTTAAAATTTTTAAGTTTTTGATTCCCAAAATTGCAATAAACACACCAGAAACTATCTTTAATTAAATAAAACTAAGTTTTCACGGCTAAAATTAAGCTTAAATAAGCTATTGTAAGCAAATACGGTCATCTTGTTAGCTCGAAATTAGACCAAAAATCAAAAATTTCAAACAAGTCTTTCTCGATACCATGGAAAAAATTTTAAATTTTTTAAATGTCGTTCGAATAACGACTGAAAAAACTTTAATAAGATATATTACTCAACCCAGTCCGATCATTAATGTGGTAAATGATTTTGCGTGGAAAACAAAAAACAAAAAAAACTAAAACACTTCCGAATATAAATTTCCTTCCCATTTTCAATGGTAGGAACAATAAGTGCTTCAATATCAAACCATCTCATCTTAATAAGCATCTAATCGAACCTGAATTTTTTTTAAAAAAAGAAACTGACTATGCTTAGACATGCTCCACCACTTTCATAGATCTTCTCCAAATCGAAGAAACGTCAATTATTATTGTTCCGACCGTTGAAAATGGGGAGGAACTTTGTATTCGGGTGTGTTTTAGTTTTTTTCTTGTTTTCAACGCAAAATCAGGTACCACAAATAATCATCGGACTGGGTTGAGTGATATATCTTATTGAAGTCCTTTCAGTTGTGATTCAAACGACATTAAAAATATCCAAAAGAAAAACCGGTTTTGAAATTTTTGAGTTTTGGTGCAAATTGGAACTAATATGGCGTAAACGTATAGGCTTACAAGCTGAATTGTGCCTAATTTAAGACCATAAAATCTAATTTTAAGCATGTAAAACTAGTTTTTGGAGTTTTTTAGCTTCTTTTTGGGAAGTTTGTCTAGTCATTTTTCTTCAAAAATTCTTGTCCAAATTGCCTATATTACTATGACTGTCTGATATACCTAAATTATATTTTTAAGTCAGATCTTTTTAACACACCAAGCAGAAAAAACTACACTATTTTGGTTGGGTAAAAACTTTCTAAACCGTAGTTTTCTAAAGACTATCTATGGTCGGAACATTCTGTGCTATTTGCACAATAACCAGCTATCCTCTTTTTTATTGCTATTATCATGATTATTATTATCTATTTTTTGCATCTTGAGGGTTGTTAAACTCACGTGACGATTACTCTGACGGACACCTCCTCTGGGAGTGAGCCTCCAGTGGCAGACTGCAGATTGACAGAGACAGAGTTCACAAAGTTCACAGAGTCAAGCACGACTTCAATGGTCGCCTGCAAAGTTAACACACATGCAGGGACAAACAAAACAATTTTTACAATTCTAAAAAAAAAACTTTTTACAATTTAAAAAAATCTATATTTCGACTAATAAAAATTCTGCAAATTTGAGAAGATTTTGCAAAGTTGAGAAAAAAATATTAAAACAACTTTAACAGCAGGCAATTAAATTTCCTTGAGAAACTTAGCACAGTAAAGACAAATTTCTCAACAAAACAAGCACTCTTCATGATTATTAAAACTTTAAGTCTTAAATCTGCTATAAAATGAATGATACCTCTCAGTTGTATTTTTCTAAACAGAAACGGAGAGAAAAATTTAAGTCGGAAAAAAAGATAAAATGAAATGTGACCTCGTCTTCTCCAGACAGAGATGGGAGTTCATCTGGTGACCCCAGAGTGCCCTCTGGATCTGAACTGTCGAAAGAGGCGGTCTCTGTCTCCTCTTCGTTCACTGTGAGAGAAGCAGGCTCCAGGGACTCCAACTCTTCGTGTTCACACACTTTGGCTGGAAAGAAGAAAACAAAATTAGTGCACACAATGTAGGAAAAATTATTTTCAAATTGTCAAAATACTTAGATAACTTTTCCCTACTCTATTTTATTTGGCACTTTAAAAAGCAATTAACTCGCTCCAATATCTACGCAAGACTGCCAAGCCCTGAATGTTCCGACTGCCTTTTAAGGTCTATCGAGCAGTTAATAACATGAAAAAATTAATTGTAATAAAAAAATGATTTTTTTTGAACAAAAATTTGAGATTTTTTGTAAAAATTATCCCCCACACGCCATATTAAAGTACAAAGTGATAAATTTTGCTCCTATTAACAAATCAATCATGGCATAAAGCTTCCTTGAACCAATTTGGAACGATTTCTAAGACGGAGTAATTCTCCGCTTACGCGTTAATAGCGCGAAATATATCGCGCGTTAATTGTCCCAAATTGGCCAAAATGGCAATCTTTAAACCCCCAAAACTTTACAAACAATGATTACAGGTGAAACATCTTTTCAAATTTAAGCTCAGGACAACAATAGTTTTCGAATGATAGAAAAAATCTCCGTCAAAAATGGCTAGATAATAAGTTGAAATTTGTCTGAAGAAAAAACCCACCTCGAGCACAAATATTCCGTTACTTTCGTTACGAAAGTCGGAACTATGTTGTTTTAGCAAGTATTAATAAAATCTAGCAAACATTTAGAAAACCTTAAGTAGATCTAGTTTACCAGCTCAACGTGGACAGCAAAAAAGGATTGAGTAGAAATTAAAAACTGTGTTTGTTTATGTTTGCTTAAAAGTGTACCATTCTTCTCACCTTGTGGCTGTGTTGTGGTTGTAGGTACAGGAGCTGCTGTCGTCGTAGGCACAGTGGATTCCTCGGGGGCAGTTGTTGTCTCCACATCTGCAAAGAAAACAGTTTCTGGTCAGATTTATACAGTTTTTGAAGTTACATTGAGAGTTATTAGAAAAAATAGGTGATTTCGGATAAATCACTCATAATTGGACATAGGGGCGGTATTCATGGATTATTTAATCATTTGCAGACAATCTCTACTTCAAAGTGTATATATTGATGATATAAATTATAAACATAAATCATCACCGTTCTTAAGTTTGCCTCGAGTAACTTCACTAAAAAACTTTTAAAAAAATAATATTCAGATCTTACCAAAAAAAACATTTAGTTTTCTAATCATGAAGGTAAAAAATTTCACATCATACATGATGAATGACATAAAAATTAGCAGCGATCAATCTCAGATAATTTTTGAAAATGTTGTTTCCAAAACTTACCAATTTTTTCATCCAATCCAAGAGACTGAAAAAATTCTTTATTGGCAATTAAATTTATTGATAATTAAATAGATTTTTACGTTTGCAGAGAGTGAGTTCGGCAGTGATGTTTTCGAGGATGTCCACGCAGTCCAGTCTGCTCTCCTCAAGGTCAAGAGGGTTCAACTTGATCTCCATCGAGGACACCTCAGAAGTGGTGGGTAGAGTGACGCTTCCCTCTCCACTGCTGACTGGGAACACTTTCTGCAACAAACAATTCAACAATTTCAATTCAATTTCACCATTGAAGTTTTTGAAAGAAAGAAAGAAAAAAGAAAAAACGAAAGAAAAAACGAAAGAAATAAAGAAGTCAAGAAAAGAAAGAAAGAAAGAAAGAAAGAAGCAAAGAAAAGAAAGCAAGAAAGAGAAATAATTTTTGTTTAATTATAGATTAATATAAATTTTTTGAAACTTTGTGCGAGTTTTAGCGTTGAACAAACTTTTGGTCTCGATACATTTCGATCTTAAAAATGACCAAATTTCATTTATTGCAGTTTGACAAAAACAAACAACTAAAATATCACTTTCCAAAAAATATTAAATTGAACTATATTGTTAACTAATATTATTAATAACTTATTATGATTATGATTATTATTGAGCTAAATGAACTTACCAATCCGGACACCAAGTTTCCGTCCACAACAGCCACTACTTCCTCTCCAGCTGAAGAGACAGAGTAGATTGTGGATGACTCATCTCCCACCAGGGAGTAGAAGAGGTTAAACGTGAAGTCAGTGTTGGAACTGTCGTACACTGTCAGGTCAGCCAACTTCGAAGTCTGAAGAGAGGAACATTGTTGGTTAACTACTTAATTATAAACACATTAATTCACTTTTTCATTGTGTAATCGTGATAAAAAATGGAAGAGTTGAGAAAAAAATTTAGAAGAGAGTGGGATTCGAAAGCACAACCGCCTGCGTCTCAGATTCAAGGTGTACCAGAGTAACAATAATGTTTTAGTTCGCTTCAACTTGAAATTATACCTCGGCGTCTGATCCCAAGTCGATGTTGACAATGTGTGGGTTTTCAATGTCGCAACTGAATACTCCTTCTACTGTGTATGGCTCCTCCATGATGTCAGAACAGGGCTCACCCGCTAAAAATAAGAAACCCGCTAAAATAAGAAAAAAATCCTGACATTTTTTGTTTGGAAAATTCAGTTTTTTCTACTTTAAAGGTTTCAACACAGGGTTGAAGCGGTGTTTCGCAAACACTAGCCAGAAAACGACAAAAACATTCAATTTTAAATGAAATACGAAAAATCTAAAATAAGCTTCGAATTATTAAATCTTTGGTACATGTGAGAATTTTGCAAAAAGTTGGATCAGACAAAATTATTCAAAAAAAAACAATTCAGATACATTTTTGATGCAAATATGGTTTTTCCAGACAAAATATAGGCTTCAAATACATCTGAAAGTTCAAATTTGAGGGCATTTAGAAAAAAATAAATTGATTCTTTTTAATATATTCTGTCTGCTCCAACTTTTTGCAAGTCTCTACATTCTACTGTGCACTTAGTTTGTATGCGTACGAGTGGTAGTTGAAGGTGCGACACTAGTCGTGGAAGTTTCCTTCACACAGCCGACCACTTTGAGACTGTCCAGTGAGAATGCCTCTGTTGCGTCATCGGGAACAATCAACACTTTGGTGACGTCATCAACGAGCAATGAGATGATTGTGATTGTGTCTGCAGTTGCGGTGAGAGTGGTATCGGTTGCCTAGAACAACATAACAGAGTTCATTAAAGGTCATTTGAGATATAGGTCAAACAGTAGTGAAGTGGTTACATCTCCGCCACTCAATCGAAAGGTCGGATGTTCGAGGCCCACCACGATCCGTGCTCCTTGCTTGAGGGTGAGGCAACATTACCCAGCCCAGAAAAGTAACCAAAAAAATTGCATGTAGTTCTTAAGCAGGGGCACAACAGCGGTTCGCCGTGATGAGCTGTACAGCTCGTATGTTGGTCCTTTCCCTCTTGGATAAAATGATCTCTTAATACAAAAAGAAAGGTTAAACTTTATTTGTTTGTATATTTCAACACCAGTCGGCGAGAAAAAACAATAAATTTCAGTTAATTCAAAAACAAAGTCAACAATGATGGCAGAAGCGGATCTAGGTTTTCCTCGAGCGTTGGGGTGAGGATGAACTTTTTCTTGTTGAACTTGATGAACTTTTTCTTGTTTAAGGACCAAATTGAATATCCGAGCTCTCTTAAAAAACCATGAAGACAAAGTTTTCTGAACGAAAAGGTAATATTGGTTTCAAAAAACAGTCCAAATTTTCTGAAAAAGCTTGTTCATTTATCTAATTGCGTTTATAGTCTGTTGACAATGATTGCGGAAACCATTTTTCATATTTTTACCTGTTTTTTTTTCTATTCAAACGCATTAAATTCTATGTTAATTTTTCCAATAAAACGACGTTTGATTTTTGTTACAATTACTTCGGTGTCGTTTGTGGTTGATCCGTCTTCGGTCACATATGACTTGGTTCCTTCGGAGTCTTCCACGACCACTGTGAAGGACACTGTCTCGTCTGTCTCCAGAACCACTTTGGTCACAGTCGTCTGATTAAATACATTAATTCAACTAATTAAATTTATTACGAAACACAAACAACAATAAAAAGGTAGTGAATTCACACAATTAATCTGATTACGCACTACTAACATTCAAATATTTCAACAAATCAAACTTTAAAACACCGTTGAAAAATTTAATTTAGTTTCCAAGGACTATCAAAATATTACTCTGTTTTGAAATTTGTGCTCCAATTTTAACGCTTCGAATGATTCAAAACTACGTAGAGCGGAATAGAAAAAAAAGTATTTCGAATCTAACTTGAACAGAAAAAAAAATTTGTTAGAAAGAGTTTTTTCTGTTCTTTTTTTTTGGATAAATTTGAATAAAAATGAGAATTAAAATTCAAGCCAAAACGAAATATTCACTCACAGATTCAGAGAGCACCAGTGCAATAACGGATACATTGCTGGGTACTTCTGAAGCCTCGACGATCGTGGAGTCATCATTCTGGGCCAGATCCACCTTTGTGTTCGATGGGAAACCTCTGGATAAACAATCGATGGTTCATTTTTGGATAAACAAAAACTATCTACTTTTATTTAATAAGATAGTCAGATCATTATAGCTATTATTGTTTAATGTAGCTCAGTTTGTATCGAATCTAGAAAAGGCAAACTCAATATCGCGTCAAAATACTGAATTTTTAATGCGGAAAATCATCAAATGTTCGATCTGGCTACCAAAATACAGCTTATTATGACAAAAAAAATATACTAAATAATTCCAAAATCAGTAAACAGTACCTTATCAAACAAAAAATTATATTTTTTCAATTCAATTTTGTCTTATCATAGATGAACCACTCAACTTATCTCTCTGTTCATTGAAACTATGACAATTATCGTTTAAAATATGGCATTGTTATGTAAGAAATAATAAAGAAAAAAGCAAACGGTGCTAAGAACTTCCGCACCGCACATGATAAAAATGTTATTACACTTGATTCAATCGCACCAAAGACTATCAAAATTGCACATTTTTGAGCCTTTTTATCTATTTTCAGGCGCGAATTTTAGGGGAAAGAGGGTGCAGACGCCGCTCAGGGATTCGACCCCCTGACCAAAGGTAAAGGGTATCACTTGTCTAAATGGCCTGTTTAATAATCATTGGCAGCGTATTTTAATTTTCTAGTTAAAGCCTAGCCTATTTGAATGGATTACTATTTGAATGGATTAGCCATTTTAGTAAAATCACAGTGTAACTACATTTGTGAGGGGGCGTTTATAATTTTTATGCAACTAGGTGTGTATGTGTGTGTGTGTGTGGGGGGGGGGGGCATTTTGGAAAAGACCAATGACATCAATAACCAACCAATGTACTCTACTCACTGTTCGACTGTGTAGGCCTCTTCCAGAGGGACGTCATCTTCAGTACACACTTTCTCAGTTGAAGTCTCAGTCGAGGTAGAGAACTCAGTTGTGGTTGAGGCTACAAACAACATATATCTTCTGAAAACCACCCTTGTCGATTAAGAAACTGACTACAAACAAAATGACACCAATTTGAAGAAAGAAAGAAAAACTCTTTTTGCTGTTTTTATGAATGTGGTCGGAACATTCTGTGCTACTTGCACAGCAACCGGTTACTTTTGTTTTATCTGCTCCCGACTCTACTCACTGTAGGCCATGCATTTCACTGTAGCTGTTCTATCTTTTCCTTGTCAATGGTTCAAAAATCAGCGACCATACTCATTTTTAGTTATTGAATAAAGTAAATTCGCTAAATTATGAAAAGCTTTCAAACAAATGCAATGATAAAAAAAGACAACGTCACAATAGAAAAATAACACATTAACTACGACTCATTTTTTAAAAATGTCATTCTTTTTATTGCAACTTTCTTCAAGTAGAAAATCGAAACAATTATGTTGTGAACGGTAATTTTTATACAATGTACTTGAGAAAAACAGTAAAGCGTGCCAGCAAGCCTAAAAGAAAAATAGTGAAGCGTACCAGCAAGCCTTAAAAAACCGAAAAAGCAAAACCTCTGATCTATAAAAATGATCACAGATATTTTATCTCGACACGAGAGTACAGACATGCGCGGCAAAGCGAACATGTACGCAATTTAATGCTTCAAATTACATCCTCGGAGTACAAAACGTCGACGGTTTTTTTTGGGCAAGATGTTTATTAACAACAAGACTGCTCGTATACTAGGGTGAAGCCCTGCATGTTTCGACTGCATTTTCAGGCCAAGTAAAAAAATTACTTAAGTAAGCTACAAACAGATGTATTTAGCGTCATTTATACTAATAATCAGATCAAATTATTTGCCTCAATTCTATAATTCAAAATAGAACGCATTAATCCGCAGTTTACGCCTGTTAAAAAAATGCAATATATGCAAATAGGCAAAAAAAACTATTTCAAACCCCCATAACTCTCCAAAAATCGATCACAGGTGAAAACTTTTTTAAAATTTGATCTACAGACAACAAAATATTTTTCAGATGATTTGAAAACTTACCGTCAAAAATGCATAGTTTAAAATTCGAAAAATGAAGGAATAAAAAATCACCCCAAGCATAAATAATCCACTTTTTTTTCGAAAATCGGAACAGTAAATAAATTCTTTTATAGCTCGAGCATATTTAGAAACTGGTGTATGAAAGATGTAAGAAATTTGTAGGGCCGCTTCGAATGGACACCGTAAGGTTACATGCTATTCTGGTGTCATTATAGAGCAATTTGGAAAAACAATATCTATTTTTTAGCTCTGCCTTTCGAAGGAAGTGACGGTTTATTTGTGCTCTGGTGGTTTTTTTTTCGTCAGACAAATTTTTTAACTAGTCATATTTCTTGCTGAATTTTATAACATCTGAATTGTATTGGTGTCCTGAGCTGAAAAAAAAACGATATTTCACCTGTGATCGTTTTTCATGAAGTTATGGGGGTTTCATTACAGTCAGTTTGGGAAATTAACGCGCGATATATTTTGTTCTATAAAGCGTAAGCGGCGAAATAATCCCGCTATGAAATCCTTCCAAAGCGACTGCTATTTGTCCTAACTTTATGGTTATTATAAGCGAAAACTATCACTTTGTACTTAACACTATTTCCATAAACATTTAAACTATTTCAAATACCATTTCGTTAAACTAATCGATAGACGTTGTAAGGCAGTCGGAACATTCAGAGATTCACTCTGATACAAGCAGTCTTGTTGTTTGTAGCCGATTAAAACCGAAAAGCACTCAACAACTGATTGTTACAAAAAATGTGTGACTTACAGAGACATGCCAAGAAGTCGACGTTCAAAGCGCCTTCTTCACATCCCTTGATTTTGAAAGTGATAGATGCAATCTCGATCTCAAGAGAGCCCTGGAAGTCATTGAACTTCAGACTGTAGTCTCCCTCTGTCTCCAAGTTAAACCACAGATCTCCCTGTGAAATAAAAATAAAGTCCTAGGAAAAAGTTCTTGACATTGTAGAACTGTAGAAAAAAAAGTCACAGTGAATTAAGAAAATACTGATCATAGCTACACCTGTTACGATCAAAAAATCTATATTTCCACTGATAAAAAAATTCGCATTGCTCTTTTTGATTGTTCGTTTTTGCTCTCAAATGCAAAAAAAAGGTCCGCGGTATTGCTGTTCGAATTTTGTAATGATTGGGACAATGAATTTGACCAGAAAGCTGGATTATTATCAGACCTTAAATTCGCTGGCCGGGCAATAAATCAGTATCGTAGCTATGAAAAGGAATGCATTAATTATTAAACTAATGTATTTTTCCATGTTGAGCTATTTTTTTGCCCTCCTTTAAACAATTTTTCTTCACCTTTTTTACGCTATGTTTCCTCGCCATTTTTAAAACCATTTTTCTTATCTTTTTCTCACCTCAGTGGCTGGTACTGGTTCGAACATCTCGGTCAGGGGCTCTGAGGACGTCCCGTAATTCTTCAAGGAGAACTGGTCTCCGTTTCCGTCTGTGAACTCAATCGACATCTGGGATCCCTCAGACAGGGCAGCCACACTCATCTGCATTTCCATGATCACTTGAGCGTCCTGAATAAAAAAAACAATAAATACAAGTTCTGATAAACAACAAACCTACATTCAACATGAGCAAAACTATCATCACTTGAACCTCCTAAATGAACAATTGATTAACAATAAACAAAAAGAAACAGAACAAAACGCATAAATAAAAAACTAAATAAAACTAGGATAGTCGATTTTTGTGCAAGTAGCACAAATCGTCCCGACCATATTCAAAAAAACTACAAATAAAAGTTCTTCAAATTATTAAGTTCTTCAAATTAGTGTCGTTTTTTGTACGTGGTGTGATGATAAAACTATACACACGCGTAACAAATTATTAAATAAGGCATAATTGACAACAGAAGTTTTCAAAAAAAAGAACAAAAAAATGAAAAATTACAAAGAAAAAGTCGAAAATGTTTCTAGTTTTTTAAACAATATTACTACCACTATTTTAAACAACAATTTTAACAAGTTATCGTCACTCTATTCGGTCGAAATTAGACGAAAAATTGAAAATTTCAACCGGTTTTTGTTGTAACAAAACCTTTTGCTCCTGTTATAAGACTGCTCACTCGCTCAACTCGCTCGAATTAAGTCTAATGCTAGAACAATTAGACAAAAAAAATTTCATTTGATGTACTTGATTTTGCGTGGAAAAAAGTTTGAAAAAATTCAAACAGCTGAAGACTTTGAAACACCCGAATTTCCTCCATAATTTCAGTTGTCGGAACAATAAAACGGAGAACAAGAAACGCCAGAAAAGAAAGCTATTCGCACCAAATTAAAAGGTCGGACAAAGACAGCATCGTAAATTATTCTTTTATATTTTAAAACAAAATAAGATGAAGCATTTTACTTTCCAAAAAAATGACATTTGACCATCAAAAAATATCAATAGCTCTCATATCAAAATAGAGGGCCTTACAAACGTTGCCAAAAGTCATCTGATAAAACACTAAAAAATTTGAATAAAGTCAACTAATTTCATTCTTTCCGACTTTCAATTTTCATAGATTAAATTAAAAGCAGAAACCACGTTGAGCTGACAATTTCGCATCGCAAGCACTTAAAAATACAAATTAATGAATTCAGTGTACGAAGTTTTCCATCTAATTTTCAGTATAGTAAAAAAACTCCAAATGAAAAATTAAATTATACGAAAAATGAGGATTTTTCAAACTTTTCATGCTCTATCAAGTTTCGTTAGCATGCACACTCGAATATATTTGGTAAACAATTGAAAAGTTTGTTGGTGTAATAGGTCTCATACAACCCGTATCATTTTTACAAAAACACATGTCACCCAACATGAACAGTTTCTGAGAACGTACAGCAATTAGAGGTATTGACAAAGCTCTCCCGTCTGGAAACCTTTGATAATAACTAGTCCCCAAACCCGAAATTAAATAACAATAGCACGAAACCTCGTCAGAAACCTTTTTAAACTTAGTCATCTTCGTTTTTGGCGGAACCTATGGTAAAAATACCCAATACACATACTAGTCCGAAAAAAAAATCAATTATGTAACCGTGCCTAACCAGGGTGGCGATGTTTTAAAACAAGGGTGTTTGAAACAGTTTAAAACAGTGTTTCGTTCTTTTTCAATGTTTTATTGATGTTTTTAATATATTTTCTGCCTCCTTTTGCTTTATATGCATCCTTTTGCCTCGATTTATTAACATTCACAACTTGCTAAGAACACTTGAAATAACAGGTGTTATGAATATATATTTGGCTGACCTTAGCTTTAAACTTACCTTTGCCCCGAGTTTTTCCGTTTATGAGATTCGATCACACAGATAAGGACAAAAATATCAAAATTTGCCTTCAATTTAAGAGCATTGGACGAATCGTCAAAAGTATTCAACATTTTGAATTTACACATATTTTAAAACAGTTTTAAACGTTCACAACATTTTTTTAATGTTTTTTTTTCAATCAAATTAAGACATTTCTTTAGCCCTCGAACGAGAGAAAATTAAAGTAATCAAAAATTTATTACAGTGCCGATTATAGAAAAAAATTGTTTATAGAAAAAATAACAATAATTTAAGCTTTAATTCATTAATACAAGAAATTGCCCTGAATTTTTATGCTTTCTACAACATTACAGATGCTAAAAAAAATCTGCAAACAAAACTCCGCTTTGACAAAACTATTTAAGCAAAACGGAATCAACTTCAATAAAATTGACTAAAATCATTCTTGTTATTAAAAATCAGAAAAATAAAGTGAGGAAGCTTTTTACTCAAGTATTTTTGCAAACGTCAACCTTAGAGAAGCAAAAGTCTGCAAAAAACGGAAGATCGACTTACATCATAACTGTACTTTGTAATGAACTCTTTCGGCTCAGAACCATCTTCGCATTCAGGAGCAGCACTTGTCGTAGTCGAAGCAGGAACAGCGCCTGTCGTGGGTGCACTTGGTGTTCCTGCTGTTGCTGGCGCTGCTGGAGTAGCCACTGTTGCAGGTGCTGCTGGTGTAGCCACTGTTGCAGGTGCTGCCGGAGTTGCCGCTGTTGCAGGTGCTGCTGGTGTAGCCACTGTTGCAGGTGCTGCTGGTGTTGCCGCCGTGGCTGGTGCTGCTGGAGTTGCCGGTGGTGCTGGAGTTGCCACTGTTGCAGGTGCTGCTGGTGTAGCCACTGTTGCAGGTGCTGCTGGTGTAGCCACTGTTGCAGGTGCTGCTGGTGTAGCCACTGTTGCAGGTGCTGCTGGTGTTGCCGCCGTGGCTGGTGCTGCTGGAGTTGCCGGTGGTGCTGGAGTTGCCACTGTTGCAGGTGCTGCTGGTGTAGCGACTGTTGCCGGTGCTGCTGGTGTCGCCACCGTGGCTGGTGCTGCTGGAGTTGCCGGTGGTGCTGGAGTTGCCTCTGTTGCAGGTGCTGCTGGTGTAGCCACTGTTGCAGGTGCTGCTGGTGTAGCCACTGTTGCAGGTGCTGCTGGTGTTGCCGCCGTGGCTGGTGCTGCTGGAGTTGCCGGTGGTGCTGGAGTTGCCACTGTTGCAGGTGCTGCTGGAGTTGCCGCTGTTGCAGGTGCTGCTGGTGTAGCCACTGTTGCAGGTGCTGCTGGTGTTGCCGCCGTGGCTGGTGCCGCTGGAGTTGCCGGTGGTGCTGGAGTTGCCACTGTTGCAGGTGCTGCTGGTGTAGCCACTGTTGCAGGTGCTGCTGGTGTAGCCACTGTTGCAGGTGCTGCTGGTGTAGCCACTGTTGCAGGTGCTGCTGGTGTAGCCACTGTTGCAGGTGCTGCTGGTGTAGCCACTGTTGCAGGTGCTGCTGGTGTTGCCGCCGTGGCTGGTGCTGCTGGAGTTGCCACTGTTGCAGGTGCTGCTGGTGTAGCGACTGTTGCAGGTGCTGCTGGTGTTGCCGCCGTGGCTGGTGCTGCTGGAGTTGCCGCTGTTGCAGGTGCTGCTGGAGTTGCCACTGTTGCAGGTGCTGCTGGTGTAGCGACTGTTGCAGGTGCTGCTGGTGTTGCCGCCGTGGCTGGTGCTGCTGGAGTTGCCGGTGGTGCTGGAGTTGCCACTGTTGCAGGTGCTGCTGGAGTTGCCGCCGTGGCTGGTGCTGCTGGAGTTGCCGGTGGTGCTGGAGTTGCCACTGTTGCAGGTGCTGCTGGTGTTGCCGCCGTGGCTGGTGCTGCTGGAGTTGCCGGTGGTGCTGGAGTTGCCGCTGTTGCAGGTGCTGCTGGAGTTGCCACTGTTGCAGGTGCTGCTGGTGTAGCGACTGTTGCAGGTGCTGCTGGTGTTGCCGCCGTGGCTGGTGCTGCTGGAGTTGCCGGTGGTGCTGGAGTTGCCACTGTTGCAGGTGCTGCTGGTGTAGCCACTGTTGCAGGTGCTGCTGGTGTTGCCGCCGTGGCTGGTGCTGCTGGAGTTGCCGGTGGTGCTGGAGTTGCCACTGTTGCAGGTGCTGCTGGTGTAGCCACTGTTGCAGGTGCTGCTGGTGTAGCCACTGTTGCAGGTGCTGCTGGTGTAGCCACTGTTGCAGGTGCTGCTGGTGTAGCCACTGTTGCAGGTGCTGCTGGTGTAGCCACTGTTGCAGGTGCTGCTGGTGTTGCCGCCGTGGCTGGTGCTGCTGGAGTTGCCACTGTTGCAGGTGCTGCTGGTGTAGCGACTGTTGCAGGTGCTGCTGGTGTTGCCGCCGTGGCTGGTGCTGCTGGAGTTGCCGGTGGTGCTGGAGTTGCCGCTGTTGCAGGTGCTGCTGGTGTAGCCACTGTTGCAGGTGCTGCTGGTGTAGCCACTGTTGCAGGTGCTGCTGGTGTAGCCACTGTTGCAGGTGCTGCTGGTGTTGCCGCCGTGGCTGGTGCTGCTGGAGTTGCCGGTGGTGCTGGAGTTGCCACTGTTGCAGGTGCTGCTGGAGTTGCCGCTGTTGCAGGTGCTGCAGGTGTAGCCACTGTTGCAGGTGCTGCTGGTGTAGCCACTGTTGCAGGTGCCGCTGGTGTAGCCACTGTTGCAGGTGCCGCTGGTGTAGCCACTGTTGCAGGTGCTGCTGGTGTTGCCGCCGTGGCTGGTGCTGGTGGAGTTGCCGCTGTTGCAGGTGCTGCTGGTGTAGCCACTGTTGCAGGTGCTGCTGGAGTTGCCGCCGTGGCGGGTGCTGCTGGAGTTGCCACTGTTGCAGGTGCTGCTGGTGTAGCGACTGTTGCAGGTGCTGCTGGTGTTGCCGCCGTGGCTGGTGCTGCTGGAGTTGCCGGTGATGCTGGAGTTGCCGCTGTTGCAGGTGCTGCTGGTGTAGCCACTGTTGCAGGTGCTGCTGGTGTAGCCACTGTTGCAGGTGCTGCTGGTGTAGCCACTGTTGCAGGTGCTGCTGGTGTTGCCGCCGTGGCTGGTGCTGCTGGAGTTGCCGCTGGTGCTGGAGTTGCCACTGTTGCAGGTGCTGCTGGTGTAGCCACTGTTGCAGGTGCTGCTGGTGTAGCCACTGTTGCAGGTGCTGCTGGTGTAGCCACTGTTGCAGGTGCTGCTGGTGTTGCCGCCGTGGCTGGTGCTGCTGGAGTTGCCACTGTTGCAGGTGCTGCTGGTGTAGCGACTGTTGCAGGTGCTGCTGGTGTTGCCGCCGTGGCTGGTGCTGCTGGAGTTGCCACTGTTGCAGGTGCTGCTGGTGTAGCGACTGTTGCAGGTGCTGCTGGTGTTGCCGCCGTGGCTGGTGCTGCTGGAGTTGCTGGTGGTGCTGGAGTTGCCGCTGTTGCAGGTGCTGCTGGTGTAGCCACTGTTGCAGGTGCTGCTGGTGTAGCCACTGTTGCAGGTGCTGCTGGTGTAGCCACTGTTGCAGGTGCTGCTGGTGTTGCCGCCGTGGCTGGTGCTACTGGAGTTGCCGGCGGTGCTGGAGTTGCCATTGTTGCAGGTGCTGCTGGAGTTGCCGCCGTGGCTGGTGCTGCTGGAGTTGCCGGTGGTGCTGGAGTTGCCGCTGTTGCAGGTGCTGCTGGTGTAGCCACTGTTGCAGGTGCTGCTGGTGTTGCCACTGTGGCTGGTGCTGCTGGAGTTGCAGCTGTTGCAGGTACTGCTGGAGTTGCCGCTGTTGCAGGCGTGCCAGGTGTGGCTGGTGCTGCTGGGGTTCCCGCCGTGGCTGGAGCTGCTGGCGTTGCCGCTGTTGCTGGCGTGCCAGGTGTGGCTGGTGCTGCTGGGGTTCCCGCCGTGGCTGGAACTGCTGGTGTTGCCGGTGCACCTGGGGTAGCTGGTGCTACAGGTGTTGCCACTGTTGCAGGTGCTGCTGGTGTTGCCGCCGTGGCTGGTGCTGCTGGAGTTGCCGCTGTGGCTGGTGCTGCTGGCGTTGCCGCTGTTGCAGGAGCTGCTGGTGTTGCCGCTGTTGCTGGCGCGCCAGGTGTGGCTGGTGTTGCCGCTGTGACTGGGGCTGCTGGTGTTGCCGGTGCTGCTGGAGTTGCCGCTGTTGCTGGCGCACCAGGTGTGGCTGGTGCTGCTGGTGTTGCTGCTGTGACTGGAGCTGCTGGTGTTTCCGGTGCTACAGGTGTTGCCACTGTTGCAGGTGCTGCTGGCGTTGCCGCCGTGGCTGGTGCTGCTGGAGTTGCCGCCGTGGCTGGTGCTGCTGGAGTTGCCGCTGTTGCAGGAGCTGCTGGCGTTGCCGCTGTTGCTGGCGCTCCAGGTGTGGCTGGTGCTGCTGGTGTTGCCGCTGTGACTGGAGCTGCTGGTGTTGCCGGTGCTGCTGGAGTTGCCGCTGTAGCAGGTGCTGCTGGTGTGGCCGCTGTTGCTGGCGCACCAGGTGTGGCTGGTGCTGCTGGGGTTGCTGCTGTGACTGGAGCTGCTGGTGTTGCCGGTGCTGCTGGAGTTGCCGCCGTTGCAGGTGCTGCAGGTGTAGCCACTGTTGCAGGTGCTGCTGGTGTTGCCACTGTGGCTGGTGCTGCTGGAGTTGCCGCTGTTGCAGGTGCTGCTGGAGTTGCAGGCGCTGCTGGTGTAGCTGGTGCTACAGGTGTTGCTGGTGTTCCTGCTGTTGCTGGCGCTGCTGGAGTTGCCGCTGTTGCAGGTGCTGCTGGTGTTCCGGCTGTTGCTGGAGCTGCTGGTGTAGCAACTGTTGCTGGCGCGCCAGGTGTGGCTGGTGCCACTGGGGTTCCCACCGTGGCTGGAGCTGCTGGTGTTGCCGCTGTGGCAGGTGCTGCTGGAGTTGCCGCTGTTGCAGGTGCTGCTGGAGTTTCAGGAGCTGCTGGTGTTGCTGGTGTTGCCGCTGTGGCAGGTGCTGCTGGAGTTGCCGCTGTTGCAGGTGCTGCTGGAGTTTCAGGAGCTGCTGGTGTTGCTGGGGCGCCAGGTGTGGCTGGTGCTGCTGGGGTTCCCGCCGTGGCTGGAGCTGCTGGTGTTGCCGGTGCACCTGGTGTAGCTGGTGCTACAGGTGTTGCCACTGTTGCAGGTGCTGCTGGTGTTGCCGCCGTGGCTGGTGCTGCTGGAGTTGCCGCCGTGGCTGGTGCTGCTGGAGTTGCCGCTGTTGCAGGAGCTGCTGGTGTTGCCGCTGTTGCTGGCGCGCCAGGTGTGGCTGGTGTTGCCGCTGTGACTGGAGCTGCCGGTGTTGCTGGAGTTGCCACTGTAGCAGGTGCTGCTGGAGTTCCAGGAGCTGCTGGTGTTGCAGCCGTGGCTGGTGCTGCTGGAGTTGCCGCTGTTGCAGGAGCTGCTGGTGTTGCTGGCGCTCCAGGTGTGGCTGGTGCTGCTGGTGTTGCCGCTGTGACTGGAGCTGCTGGTGTTGCCGGTGCTGCTGGTGTTGCCACTGTGGCTGGTGCTGCTGGAGTTGCCGCTGTTGCAGGTGCTGCTGGAGTTGCAGGCGCTGCTGGTGTAGCTGGTGCTACAGGTGTTCCTGCTGTTGCTGGCGCTGCTGGAGTTGCCGCTGTTGCAGGTGCTGCTGGTGTTCCCGCTGTTGCTGGAGCTGCTGGTGTAGCAACTGTTGCTGGCGCGCCAGGTGTGGCTGGTGCTACTGGGGTTCCCACCGTGGCTGGAGCTGCTGGTGTTGCCGCTGTGGCAGGTGCTGCTGGAGTTGCCGCTGTTGCAGGTGCTGCTGGAGTTTCAGGAGCTGCTGGTGTTGCTGGGGCGCCAGGTGTGGCTGGTGCTGCTGGGGTTCCCGCAGTGGCTGGAGCTGCTGGTGTTGCCGGTGCACCTGGTGTAGCTGGTGCTACAGGTGTTGCCACTGTTGCAGGTGCTGCTGGTGTTGCCGCCGTGGCTGGTGCTGCTGGAGTTGCCGCTGTTGCAGGAGCTGCTGGTGTTGCCGCTGTTGCAGGAGCTGCTGGTGTTGCCGCTGTTGCTGGCGCGCCAGGTGTGGCTGGTGTTGCCGCTGTGACTGGAGCTGCCGGTGTTGCCGGTGCTGCTGGAGTTGCCGCTGTAGCAGGTGCTGCTGGAGTTCCAGGAGCTGCTGGTGTTGCAGCCGTGGCTGGTGCTGCTGGAGTTGCCGCTGTTGCAGGTGCTGCTGGAGTAGCAGGAGCTGCTGGTGTTGCCGCTGTTGCTGGCGCGCCAGGTGTGGCTGGTGTTGCCGCTGTGACTGGAGGTGCTGGTGTAGCCGGTGCTGCTGGAGTTTCAGGAGCTACAGGTGTTGCCACTGTTGCAGGTGCTGCTGGGGTTGCCGCTGTTGCTGGAGCTACTGGAGTTGCAGGAGCTGCTGGTGTTGCAGCCGTGGCTGGAGCTGCTGGTGTTGCCGGTGCTGCTGGAGTTGCCGCTGTCGCAGGTGCTGCTGGAGTTGCAGGTGCTCCTGGTGTTGCAGCCGTGGCTGGAGCAGCTGGTGTTGCTGCTGTAGCTGGAGTAGCACCTGTTGTTGATGGAGCGGAAGGAGCGCCTGTAGTTGTCGGAGCAGGAACTGCCTCCGAAGAAGTTGGAGGCGGAAATATGCCTGTTGTTGGAGTAGGAGCAGCGCCTGTGGTTGTCGGAGCAGGAGCAGCGCCAGTGCTTGTCGGAGCAGGAGCAGCGCCTGTGGTTGTCGGAGCTGGAGTAGCACCTGTTGTTGATGGAGCTGGAGGAGCGCCTGTAGTTGTCGGAGCAGGAACTGCCTCCGAAGAAGTCGGAGGTGGAAATATGCCAGTTGTTGGAGAAGGAGCAGCGCCTGTGGTTGTCGGAGCAGGAGCAGCGCCAGTGGTTGTCGGAGCAGGAGCAGCACCTGACGTTGTCAAGAAAGCTGCTGTCGTTGTCGGAGCAGGAGCCAAACCGGTTGTTGTCGCAACTGGTCCTGTGGTTGTTGAAACAGGGACTTCGCCTGTTGTCGCGACAGCGCCTGATGTTGTGGCAGGAGGAAGGGCACTTGTAGTTGAAGTGGTTGGGCTTGGGGGCGCAGGTGTAGTCGTTGTTTTTTTGTTTGGTGGCGGAAGCGTTGACATATCGATTGGACATGGTGTTATTGTTGTGCCTAAATGAATATTTCTTATCAATTCTAATCCTATTTCAGAATTTGGCGAAGAATTTTCATTTTTTGTTTCCTTTATCACTCTTTCATTAACTATCTTTAATTCGAATTGATCTATGCTTAATTTTCAAGCAAGATGCATGACTCATGTAGTACGAGAAGAGATACTTTTTGGTATGAAATATTGAACTTAAATACTTTACTTACCATAAGACGAAGTTGTGGCAATTGTCGTTGTTTCTAAAATCAAAAACGACCCAAGTTAATACTTTCCGGCACCCTTCCACATTATTAGTTAACTACCCGTCTATAACAGCTTGTTGGCTTGTCAAAACTTTCCCATCAATCATTTCAAAACCTTCGGCAAATCATCTGAAAACATAATTTAATTTACTTCTTTATCAATATAGTTTTTCATAGAATATTTTTCGATAACTACTATATTTTTTGCAAAATTTCCTTTCAAAGCTGTTTCTTTATTTAAACTCGAAATGGACGCAACAAAAACACTAATGAGCTCGGTTGGTGTAACAAACACAAAGTTGAAAAAAATCCAATGAACTCAAGAAAACTGAAAAAAAATTGACTTTAACTTGTTTGAAAAAATTTTAAACAAATTAAAAACAAACAAAAAAAGTTTCAAAAAATAGATATCACGTTTAAACTATTTGATTTTCCAGAATATTTATTGACTGTTACTTTTTGGAGAAAACTAATCCTATTTAGGAATACTGGAATAATAGATAATGTTTTCATTCGGCTGGTAATTCTGAAAATGACAATCCAATTTGGAAAAAGAAGTCATTCACAACTTTTCACTCCATGTGAAAGTTTGTTATTCAAAAGCGTAACTTGCTTCCCTTTTTCGAATGAATTTAATTGGATCTGAGAGAAATTGAAAATCGAAAAGCAGACTTCTTTAAGAAAAAAAAGCGAGAAAAACAACACGACCTATGGACAAATGTTAGTGTCTTCACTACGTTTATTGACACTTAATAAATTAGTTTCAACTTGAAAAAAAAAATCTTGAAATTCTGAAACTTCTTACTTACGCACCAACATCAGAAAAAATACTTTTAGTTTAGTCAGATTGCTCTTATAGATATTACGCTTTATCTTTCAGACTATAACCTGTCTAACTATATCTAATTAGTTAATTATAATCATTACTAACTATAATATCTAGCTATACTCATTTGTAATACAGTAGTGCTCACCTGACGTGCACTTGACAGGTGTGACCTTGACAATTATTGTCTGTTCTTCTCCCACCTCCACTACTCCGCCTTCTTCAGATGGGGCAGGCTGGACACTGACTAACACCACTTCTACTTTGGACACATCCACCTCCTCGGAGAACTCGAACGAGATATCCAAGGGGCTGGACAGTTTCTGAAACATCACAACCACTATCAACTTTCTTTACAAATCAAGCACTGCAGCTTTTCACACATACCCATTCCTGCTTTTCGCACTCCCCTTTAGGGTTGGTGATGGGGGGGGGTGATATTTGCGGCTGTTTGCACAGCGCGTCGGGTTCACCACCGGAAAGCGGGACTTCCGGACCCAAATTCAGATTCCTAGTGAACTTTAATTGAGTTCACTAAACACTGCCTTACGAGCCAGCCTTACAGGACTTCAATACGTATGTATCAATTTATCAATGAAAAAACTTGATTTCTACAGAAGCTTGTAAAAGGCAATCCAAAATTCATGTTTCCGCTGACATTCCCGGAATTCAGTTGTTCATCTCCAATAAAAATCTTACGTGGGACCTATGGTGTAGTGCATTTCCATTTATGACATTGTTCGTTATAACTAATTTAAGTACAAAATAATAACTAATTGTTAATGTTTAACTGACCACTTCAGTGATGTCGTGGTACAGAACATCAGGGATCACTTCATTTCCCTCCTCGTCAAACAATTCGAACTTGACCACAAACAAACTGCTGGAATCGCCTTCTACTTTCACGTCCAGACCGACCAGCGGACGGAAGTCGTCCTGAAAATGGGCAATAGTCATTATCATAATCATCATCATCACCATCGTCATCATAATATAATTATCTTATTTATCATTATCATAGTTGCGTTTATTTTTTCACCCCTTTTAGAACTCGCTCGCTTTTGAGAGGGTACACTTGCATAATCTGAATATAGGCTCCTCGGTAATACAAACAAACAGAAAAAGATGTTTTTAAAAAATCTTTTTTTTGGTTATATTCGTTTTTGCAATCGGATATAAAAAACAAAGTTTTTTAAATTTTGTCAATAAATCGGCAAATTTTTCGAAGTGACATTTACATTCTATATCAAAAAAGATAAATATTCAACTTACTTAGTTTTAGATAACAACTTCTCGATGACAACAGATCAATTGTGCTGAAGGCCTTCATGTCAAAATTCAAGTTTTATCAACTTTCAAAAAACGGCTAGAAAAATTGGCAAGTTTCCAAATGAATTTAAACTTAAAAGAACACATTGTTACTACAATGTAAAAAGATAAACGCACGCGAAATGGAAAATTTTGGTTTATGTAATTATTTCATTTTTGTTGTAGTTTCGGTGATTGTTTTCCACTCACCCCTAGATTGAACACTTCGAAGCCAGACTCTTCTTCCGAGGAGTCACTGAATGCCCCCCTCTTGGCGAGACCCACCAGCTTAGTAGTATCCTCTTCACAAACTGGGGGCTCTGAAACAGACATACAAAATAAACAAAAATGGATCTCTTTAACTATACCCCACTCCCCCTCAGGTACCTAGTAACGAATGTCCCCCCTTATAAATGACTAATTTAACGGTTAACCATAGAAAAAATTCTGTATCTAGCAAAGAATCTTCCTCCTTTTGCAGAAAAAGATGTTAAAAATCCACAAAAACAATGAATAGGCCATTTGAAATTAAATTAAAAATAAAATCACGATGTTCGAAAACATTGTTTTGATTGAAAATGACCAAATATTGGAGGCATTATTGGAGGTTGTACTAAAAATCAACCTCTATCGGTAACGATTTAACTACCTCACATTAGCTCTCGAGAGTATATTTGAGTAAATTTACCATTTAGACGAAAAAACATATATTAATCATTACAGCAAATCTACTCTCTTATTTTGTCTCAAACAAAACGTAATAATGGAGGAAGTCTCACTTTTGCAGATGTATGGAGTGATTCTGATGTCCAGACCCTTGGTGGATTCCAGTTCCTCTGGGGGATCCACACTGACCAAGACAACTTCGATCACTGCCACTTCAACAACCGCCACAAACTCAACCAGGAAAGTCTCTCCTACTGTCAGTTCCTAAAAATAAACAAAAACAAACATGCTTAATTGCATTCACTTAAGCTAAGATCTAGTGGCTACTGCATCCGCCTGTCAACCAAGAGGTTTGTATTTCGAGGCCCATCATGAATTCTTGAATCTTTTCAGCTTACAGAAAATATACGAAAGAAAAAGATCAAGCGCTTCATCTGAGGTCAACAAAAGTTTCCGTTATTCTTTATCCAAACACATCGTGTCTTGGTACTACCCATTAGCACATATAATCTCAATCATTTTTTGTCGATTGAAGTGCAAAATATGTCATTTCTTTAACCGTAGTGGGTAAAAGGGGGGATCCGCTGCTTGTGTCGATTTTTGGGTTGATTTGGGACCGTGATTTTAGGAGTGATTTAAATATATATAAAGATGTATATATAAATAACTAGGTGGCACTTCGAAATCGGGGATGCTTCTATAAAAACATGTCTCATTTTTACTGTTATTTTAATTTTGTCTCCACTATAAAAGCAAGACTGACCAAAGTGTCGATGTCTCTTCCGGTTGTGGTAGGCGAGACTGGGTTTCCATCTTTGTCTGTCAACTCCACTTTCACTGTGAATGTCTTGTCAGATGATCCTCCAGTCAGAATCTCAAGTCCAGCTAGGTCCAAGTTGTCATCCTGGCGAACAAAAAAATCATCACGTGAAATCAAGCGTTCAATATAATTCAAAAAATCTTTCCTTGGTCTATATCTAAAGATTATAAGTATGCCGTATACAATTTCAGTTCAAAAGCTACCCCGTTTTGTCTTTTCAAATTCTTTTTCAATGTCAAATCACATATTTTAGACTTTCATTTAATATGTGAAAATTACCAAAAACATCTTATAAATATTTATGAAAATAAATAGCCTTACCAAAAACAGGTACTCTGTGCTTTCGGTCAGAATGTCTGTCTCAACAATGCTCTCCTCGTTGCCCAGACTGTCCTCTGGCTCTGGCTCTCCGTGCTCACACGTTGCGGGGGGAGGGGTTGAAGAAGTTGTCGAACCACTGGTGGGGGCTGCAATTACAGATGCAGTTTATAACTTTAGATACAGTTTAGATTCACAAATTATTTGGAAGTACGACACATTGTAATTGTGGCATATAAAACAACCAATAGACCGATGGAAAAGTATCAATGAACGCAAGGAAACCAAACAAAATTACGGAGATATTTTTTATTTAGAAAAGTTCAACTGTCGAACTTCAAAATCAAAAATTGATGGCCTTAGAGCTCTCATTGGAACTCTTTTACACAGAGGCGAAGTTACACTTCGCAAACACAAGCAAAAATATGACCGATAACGCTAGCGGGAAAAACTGAATGAGTAAAACTTTGAGACTACAAAATTTCTTAAGTGACGCACGCCAATAAAGAGTCTAAATAATTGCTAAGAGACGCAGGCCAATTATGACGCATTAGCAGTTCCAGTCAATTTGAAAAAAAAAGAAATTGACCACGTAACATGCCTCAATTTATAGAGCGGACGCATTTCAGCTACTATACGAAAAAGTTCCTTAAAAAGATCCGACCCTGCCCAGGTTTGTACCCTCTTATTTTGTTGGGGGTATCCTTCCCTAGCTCTACTCTAGAGATCCATGATACCTTGAAGCTAAAATGTTATTTGTAATATAATAGCCTGTGTTCATATCCTTCGCATTGGCTGTACTTAACAGCTGGTTTTTGATCAAATTGAACACTTTCAAAATGAGCTTATTTTGTCTCAACAATATTTGCGCCTCAACAATATTTGCGACTTAGGTTGGAAAAAAAGAGTTCATACTATAACACAAGCTTTGCTTGTGTAAATCATATCAACCCAGTTTGAGAAAACTGGATTATTCGGTGAAGTTTTTATTCCAGAAATTAAAATTCAGTTTTGAGATTAGAAGTCGTTTCCCTTTTTTGTGTCATTTCCATTTTCTTAACTGAAGAACGTATTTTGTTTTCCTTTTAGCAAATGATTGTCAACTGAGTTTCACAACAAATCAAAATTCAAATTGCAAAAGATCAAATTTGGAATGAACATAATTTAAAACTTATTCCTGAAAAACAAGCTAAAAATCAATTCGTATAGTTATTTAAGCAAATTTTACCCTTTCAACTACTTAAAACTAATATATATATTTTTTAAATTAAGTTGTAATATATTATGGATTTAATACATATTTCATACATAATGTTTCGAAAGTTTCTACAATGAATTCGAAAAAAATTCTTGACAATTGTGATAACATGACAGATCAAAAACCCAATAAACAAAAACAAACAAAACTGGTTGCTGCGCAATTACCACAGAAAGTCACCGACCATAGTAACAGAAAAAAAAAACAAGAGAAAAAAATCTTGTCGTTTTCCAAACCCTGTCGTTTTTTGTTCGTGGTGTGATATGAAACTTTGAACAAAAGCCTAGAACTTAGGCATTTTAGATATTAATGGAATATTCAGCTTATTTGACAGAAAAATCAATTGAAAAACAAAAAAGAAAACTAAAAAAAATGCAGAAAATATTTTTAAATTTGAAAAAAAACGTTACCCAAGAAAATGATTAAAATTAATTTTTGCACGACGTTAATCAAATATATCGTCCTATTGTTAGACTGCTTACTCGCTCGAAATCCAAAAAAAATCAAACCGCTTTTTACCAGCACATTAAGAAAACTTTTTTGAATGTAATTTGAATCACGTCTGAAACGGCTTCAATATAACATGATTTGATCCATTCCGATGTATTTGGGGTACCTGATTTTAAATGAAAAAAAGTAAATAAAAAATTGAAACACACCCAAATACAAAGTTCCTCCACTCTCCGTGGTTGAAACAAAAATATCTTAAAACTCACTAGTAGTTGTTCCATATGCACAACCGATGACCTCAATGGACTCAACCAACACAACTTTTTCCTCAGTGTCATCTAGGAAGAGGATCACTTCGACCACATCGGTCAGTTCGTCGATGGGGAAATAGTCGGACAAGTCGATGATTGCAGTGTCATTAGAAGTAGCACTTTCGAACAGCTCCGTGTTCAGCTGAAATGACCAAGTTCAACCTAACGTTTTAATTATCTCTTTTTTGTTCAAATACTTTTCATATCCATGCAATTCTAATAGAGGAAGCACTTTCTAACTGGAAAAAAAAATAGAGTTATAAGGACAACTTTTCAAATAGGCAGATACGAGACCACTTTTGTTATGCTATTATGAATTATCTCGTCTGTCGATGTTGGATGTGTAATTTAAAAAAAATGGATTAAGAAGTTGTTCTAAGTTTCCTTATCATTTCTAGATTACCCACTTTACACAGATTTTTCCAAGTTTCATTATAAGTTGAAGGATTAAGAAAAATAAATCGGAAAAAGGATTCAGTGAGTTCAAAAAAAGTTCGAAACAAAAATAAAAAAACTTCAAAACATGAAATTTTATATTAGTCTCAATGGCTTCAAGTAATTCATTGGAAAACCGAATAAATGAGTTGCTGCAGCTTACGTTGGATCTCTTTAACTATATAACTATATTCCCCCTCGGGTACCTAGTAACGAATATCCCCCATAAATAAATAAATCAACGGTTAAGCATATGAGAATTTTAAATTTAGTAACGAATATCCCCCTTTTGCAAGAGAGAGCCCCCCTTTCAAATTATCCCTTACGTCGAGTGAGTCGAAGTCCTCTGGGAGTGCCTCGAGACCATCCTCGGTCACTTCGAAGAAATCCTCGCCAGATGTCTTCACCACAACAGAGAACTTCACAGTGTCATTTGTCTGGATCAGCAGCTGCGCCAACTCAGTCTAGAATATGCACAGGTGTTACTTTAATCTTTCAACTCTAATAACCTTTAAGAAATTTCTATTGCAGAAAAAAATGCGTGAAGCTATTCATCAAGAGTCAATAAAAGTTAAAATCATGATAACATTTTTTGTTTATAACTTGATGTTACGCTAATGGAGTAATGAGTAAAAAGCGTCTAAGTTCAAAGTTTTGGCTTTGTTTTCTTCAAAAAAAAACAGTTAAAATCAATAGTATCATTTTTCTTCAAAAAATAATATTTTACATTACTCATTAATACTGTTATTGAATTAATATAATCTTTTTCTTCATAAAATAATATTTTACATTAGTCATTAATACTATTATTGAATCCACTTACGGGATCTTCCAACTTGATAGCGACACTTTCAGCCACACTCAAATCTACTCCGAAAGCATCCACCACTTTGTCCTCACTACCATCGTCACTGTTGGAAACTCCGACAGAAGAGGGCTCGGATCCGTCTGTGAAGGAGACAGAGGTGTCTGCAAGTGTCATTGGGGTCAGGTTGCCCTCGGCACATGGGGCTACTGTTGTTGGGGTGGTGGCAGCTGTGGTTGTTGTAGGCACTGAAACAGAAATCATTTATCAAAAAATTAGACAGAACAGGTAGGAAATAAACAATTTTTTTTAAATTTGAAAGTAGATACACAAAATTCAAAATATTGCTATCACACATTTTTGGAAAAATTAACAAGTTTTTTTGAAAATTGAGATCCATGTTATGTCTTCACCAAGCCTTTCCAATACGTTCACTAGGTCAATACAAAAAAGAGCGAGCCCATAATAAACAATGAGATAGGGACCCTATTTTAAACTGACCCTTTGAGCATCCACTGACTACAATTGTGGCAGCTTCCTCCTCACTGTCATCAGAAGCTGACAGAAGCATGGGAACTTTGACAGTGATGAGCAACTCAGTGGTCTCTAGTGGAGGTCCAATGTCAGAGTAGATGAAGGGCTTGTCGGAGGTGAACTCCTAAAAAGAAAAAAAACAGATCAAACTTACAAAATTAAAGGGGTCAATTCCTGAAGAGGGTAAAAATTGAGATGAGTTATATAGCAAACTCTCCAAAATCAGGTATTTTACATACTCAAAAATTTATAATACAAGTGCAAAGAGTAAGGAGAGGATAGACAAAATGCACATTTACTTTCGTACAGACAAAATTTTACGCAGCATTAATTTAAAAAACTATTATGCCATTAAAAAAATTTTTATACAACTATTGACTTGTTTTTTATTGATGAACTACATATTTTTTTCGAAAAACTTCAACAAAGACCAGAATATACAATTCGCAATTTTTAAGAGAAAGTGTTTAAGAGTGTCAGGATAACCGATAACCTTATACTGATGAGGTATCTCGAAACTTACAGTAGCATTTGCAGGACTGGGTGTGAACGTGATCTGCTGGTCAGGTGATGTTGGGTCGATCTGGATGTAGAAGAATCCGAATCCGAGCTCTTCCTCTGCCACTCCCACTGTGAATCGGAGGAGTCCCACTTTGGAGTCCAGGGTAACCTCGTCCACTTGTGTCAGTTCACCCTCAACTTCCTGAATTAGACAGAGTTTTTCCAGTTTTTAAAACTTCTTGAATATTAAGCTCAAAAGGAGCAATACCACGGTTTTTGGAGTTAGGAAAATTTTGAGGCTTCTGAATTTTATGCGCGTTTTTTAGTTAGATTCATGGAAGCACTGAAGCATATTTACATTTTCATAATTCAAACATTCCGATTTGATAACGCTTGCCAATCTCAGGCGTAATCATTTGTAATCATTTCTCAATTAGGAAAAAGATATTTAATTTGAAATTAAATGTACTTTATCGTATTTTACTCTAATGTTTTCTGTATTATTTTGTATTACCTGTGGCAGTACGAGAGAGTATTGGACTGTTTCTATTCCTTCGTCAGCTGCATCTACCAAGTCAGAAATAGCGACCACGTCTGTTCCCTCGTCGAACACAAACTCCTCCAGATCCTCCTTCTCACACCTGGTGAACATTCAAAATACTTAAAAAGAATTGCTGGTGAGCAGTCACTCCATCATCAACACCTACCCCCACCTGTATCACATAATTTTCTAACATGGCTCGAACTTCAAAAAAAGCGGAAAAAGAACAAATTTTTCTCACTGTTTTATTCGAGAAAGATCATGAATCCCCCCGCCCACAAAAAATCCGAAAGGTCCCGTCAGCGCCAAAGGTACCCATTTGATACTTTTTACACACTTAGGAACTCGAAAATCATTTTGGTCTCTATTTTAGAGTGGAATCAATCTCAAAAATTTTCAATATTTGATTTTTAAAAATCCATGATGTACAAGTTTTCAGGTGTTTTAAATTTACTTCATAGCAAACCTTTGTCCCAAAAATCTGTGATATAAATCACAGCTTCAATTCAATGGAAATAGCCAAATTTCATATATTTGAAGCTAGTTGGGCAAATGGTACAACTTCCAATTAATTATCAGACTGTGTGTACCTGTGCTTGATTTGGGCGGGTGTGGTGACGCATCCCTCTTCGTCGCTGCCGTCGAAACAGTCCATCCACCCATCACACACTTTCTCGTCCGGCACACAGTGGTTGGTGTCGTTACACTTGAATTTGTTCACTTCACATTTGAAACAGTTGCTGAAAGCGAAAAAAGAATCGAATGAATGGAAAATGGCTTTCGTTATAATTGAAACTGTCAGGTTCAAGTTAGAACCAGCAGCTGAGCCAAAACTCTAATCCTTTTAAAAATAATTTTGGAATTTCTCGCTTTGATTACAATTAGTTTAAAAAAACTCCTATTTGAATTATGAAATTCTTCTTTACTTTTGATTTGATAAACATCTCACTATTCCCGTCTCGAAGCATAATTTTTCGCTGATTTGCCTTTTTATAGAAATTATCAGAAGTGAATAGTCTTCTTAATATTATTAGATGAACAATCTCAACTTTTTATTGGAGTCAATGTCGAGACAATCCACAAAACAACTTATTTTTGATAAACGGCCACAATTCTACTTGTTCCAAATGTTTCAACTATAATAAAAATTATGGAACAAATAAACTTACTATTCGTCGGAGCAGTCGAGACAGTCGCATGTCTTGTCACACACGTCTAGAGTGAGGTTGTAGCAGATGCACTCTGGCATCCCATTCACAGTTATGTCTCCCTGGGGACATAGGGCCATACCTTCGTCTGAGTCACAGTTGCAGCCACAGTCCTGCTCGTCCGACAGATCATCGCAGTCTGGGATTCCATCACAGATACTAGAAACGAGATAAATTAAGTTTGTTAGGAAAGGATCGTTAATTTCATATTAATTGCGATTTGCAGAAAAATTAGTCATCACAGTCGGGACTTTTATCGCACACACTGTAAACGACTAGGTGCATCTTAATATATATTTTTAAAAAAATCAGTTTGCGTGAGTTAGTTAAGCGCAGCGAATGTCTGTTAAAAAACAGCATTAATTCAGCTACGTTATTAGAAGCCCTTTTCATTAAAAAACATCGAAAAACATTGAAAAAACATGTTCAATTTGAAAAAATGAGTCACACTTTTTTCGAAAAAAAACTTGAAAGATTTTCTTAAAATAAAAAACAAGAAAAAACCTTCACTTTATTATTTTCAACTAGACTTTTATGCGATTTAAAATGATAAATAAACAACCGCTATCAAAATTCTATGATGAAAACTAGAGGGATTCAACGAATGGTGCTGTTACCTGTCTTCGTCGTAACAAGTGGAGTTGAGATCGCAATGGTAGTCACCTTGACACACTGGCTCCACAAAAGCTGAAATACATGACAACTTTGTCAAAAACTGCAGTAAAATATTTACGCAAAAGAAAGGAAAACTCATGGAGTATCAACAAAAAGTTTTTATCAATTTTTTGTCGAAAAAAAATTATTTGCTACCCATGCAGTTTTTCTGATAAAATTGTACCGTTTTTTCTTCTACAAAAAATGATATAACCTTAATAATCAATCTTATTTGTGCGGTGAAACACAAAGCTACTTCGTAATCATATGCCTGAAAATTGCCTCAATAATGAATAATGAATGCATGGGACCTACCGCTTCATAATAACAAAAAATAAACATTTTAAAACTCAATTTTAATTCAGTATATTTTCGAAATCATCTAAGCTGAAATAACAAAACTACAAAAAATGAAACTCACTGCAGTTCCACTCGTCGCAACATCCGGGAGGGTAGTCGCAGATGCCGTCGCACTTGGTCTTCCCAGGGGCACAGATCTCGAAGTCCCATCCCTTGCACAGGAACTGAGGGGCTTCACACTCGATCTGACAGCCGGGAACCATAGTCTTCGTTAAGCTGCCATTCGTGCACTCACTGCAGAAAAATAACACAACTTAAGAATGTTTCATGATTTAAAAAAGCATAAAAGCAGTCGAAAACAACATCTTGCGGGAAGCAGTTCGTCCGACCTTAAGAGAAGGTCGAAAGAGTATTCGATAATTTCCCGAAAATCAGTTTTTTTGTAAATCCTAGATCCATTTTATAAGGACGGACAACTGTTTTCAAATGGGTATGTTTTAAAAGAGTAAAATTCCTGAAAAAGATACAATTTCTTATTTCAAACGTTTAGAGAAATTCAGAATCACAACACTTCTATTCTAAAACAAAGCCAACAGACAGTTGGAAAAGAGTCATGAACGCAAGGAAGCATATTGACATATTTGTCGAAAAAATCTCAACTTTCGAATTTTCAAGAGAAAATAGATGCCCTTTAAGCTCTTTGAAATTGGAAGCACTATTTCTGATTGACATTTTTTTTGTTAAAATCAAGTCAATTTGAGAAAACTGGATCCATAGAAAAAACTTTTATTGCGAAAATTAAATTCCTCTATCGAAACGAGAAGTCGATCAGTTTTTTCGTGACCTTTACACTTTTTTGTACTATAGTGGAGTTTGCCTTCCTTTTAACAAAGGAAAGGAAGTGAACTTAAAATTAAATCAAAAAAATCAAACCGCCAAAAAGTAAATTTGAGCCTGAACAAAAACTTTTCCTGAAAAAAAGAAAAAAAGAAAAAAATATCACCGAGACCTATATAAAAGTTTTCAAGTAGTTAATGACTCTGTATAACTCCTATTGATAACAGCTTTTGTGATTCAGAAAAAGATATCGGGTCGTATCATTGATTTTTTCTGAATTTATATTTCGCAAGAGGCAAATTAAAAATGAGTTTTTTTAAACGTATGAACTATTTTTAAGCAACTTTATGTTGTAATTTTACGAGGGGAGTGGGAAACTGGAAAGGAATTGTAGCTTCATGAGACTAACTATTCCATGCAGTTGTGTAGGAACTTGTGTCCAAACGGGACGAAGTTGTCCACATCGTAGTCGGACATCTTCTCGTAACACGAGCACTCCGATGGGGGTTTACACTCGTGGTCGTCTGAAGAACAGAGGGAAAAATTAGATTATTCAACGACGACCGAGTTCGCTGAAAACCTATTAAGGCCAAACAATCTATTCAAATTTGAAATTGTTATATAAAAATACATTTTCTCTTAAAAACCAATACTAACCAAAATTGTTAAATTAAATATGATAATGCTGACAATAATGATAATGATGATTTCTAGCTCATTACGAATTTAAAATTTTGCCGAATAAATGTACAATATACGAAAAAAAAAACATTTTCTTTCTTTTAAATATTTCAACTCGTTATAAAATTGAGTCTTACTTTCGCCGTACACGTTTTAAATCTACTTACATGGATCTTCATTATATGCTTAATGATCTTCATAGCATGAGACAATGAGTTTTTAATGGTAGAAGTTCAGTTGATTATAAACAGTTATAACTTATATAAATGAGTCTTACCTTCGTCGTATAGAAATCCCACTTCGCATGCGCACATTTCACTGCACTGGTCAGAGGTGCCTGGAGGTGGAACGGGGTTCGGGTCACGACAGGTCGGCCTCACCGATGGGCCACACACTGTGTATGTCTCGGGCGCCTTGCACATGATGGCTGAAAGAAAACGCTCAAATTACATAAACAATCAGATTAGCTTGATTTGAGTTTTATTGGACATGGTAATATCTGATACTTATTATGAAAGACATTCTACTAATTCGCTATTCTAAAAAAAAGATTTTGTTTTATTTTGGTAAACATTTTTATCATCTGAAGTACACGAAAAAGTTTCAAACGATGGAAACAATTTTTCTCAACGTGTTTTGCATCCAAATTGTTCATTCAAAACTTACCTTGTTGATTTCAAGACACAAACACTTTTCTTTTCCAAACGGAAAAAAACTCAAGTCAAAGGTTATTATTTTTCCAATCAAAACAAAATATATACTGAATCACTGCAATTTTGCATATTTATCCAATAAAACTTAACTTTTTACTTAAAAAAAAGAAAACTCACGACAGTGGTTGTTGTCCCTCCAGTCAAATGGCTGCTTGGGTTTGAGTAGTTTCTCACACGTGTCAATCATGTGTTCGAATTGAGTACATTTGCACTCACAGTCACCACCAGTGTCGCAGTTTGTCGTGTCAGTCATACAGGGTTCAAGGAACTTGTCAATGACCTGAACGAAAAATTCACAGATCAAATTTACATCATTTTTAGCTACCGGTCCTAATCAATGACGGACGATCCTTAGGGAGGAGGGGTTTCGTCCATTTTGCACTAGCCATCCCATCTTAAGGAGGCAAATGACACTGGGACCCCTCATACCGTGATTGAAGTGGGATTCGAACACACGACCCCCTTGTTGAGAGACGCACGCCTTACTCCCACTCGGCCATGGCTCATGGCTGCTCTAATTAAACATCCTCTACCCAGCATTTGAAATTTGCATTGAGATGGCCAATCGCTGCGCGAAAAAAGCTCAATTCTGATTGGCTAAAAACTGCAACTCAGAACCACGTTTGCATCCTACCCCCCAAGCAGATTGGTGGTGTGAGGAAAATTTTAATTTGGTCCAAATACACTTAATTTTCCGGCTAAGCCAAAATCTCGGAGCCCTGTAATTTTTTTTGCAAATGCTTCAAAAAAATATACATGATAGGCATTTGAGCATTCGGCAAAACATGGCATTCTTGCTTGCAGTACCAAAAATCAAGATCTTGAAAAAAAATAGAGTTAAACGCAAAAAAAGTACCTCTTGAGCTGTCATGGCTGCTCTGCAATCCTTGAGGACGTCTCCGTAGACGAAGTCATTACACACTTTCTCCGACCACGATTGTCGCTCGGGGTGCTTCTGAAACACATCAAATAGTTCAGTATAAAGAAAAAATAATAATTGAAGTTACAGAAACTAAATTAAACTACAAGAAAAAATACGCTGCCGTCTTATGTTGGCATTTTATCCGAACATTTTTTGCCAGATTAATTAGAAATTTTGAAAAAAAACGAACAATTTAATTATATGTTTTCAATCAATTTGTTTAATTGGTTACTAAAAATTTTGCGATACCCAAAAATTGATTCTTGGGTTAATGAAATAAAAAATTTTATCTTGATTTCGATAGAACGGGTAAATGTTTTCCCGGACTATTGATAAACCTTGATCTCCATTAATTGATCTTGAATGCTTCACTTAGAAGAAAATTGGACTCACGCTGGTTCCATCGTCTTCTACGGCTTCTTCGGGACTGCATCCTTCCAGGGCCCAAGAGCCAGCAAAGAGAGCCACATCAGTGTCCAGACTACCATCAGACTTGGTGTAGTCGTCCACCTGAAAGTGCGAATGAAATGATTTCACATGATTGCCAAGAGAAAAAGTGAATACATTTTATTTATATTTAAGAAGGGAAAAGAAGGAATTCATTTAAGTAAAACAAGAAGTGAAAAAAAATGGATGAAAAACATCATCAAAAATCATCATTTTAGTTCATCCCTCATATTGTTCCATGTTCAGGGTCATCCAATTTAGAAATCAGCTAACCAATTAAAAGCTTCTGATTGATCAACAAAACTTTCGCGCATTCAGTTCTTCGCGTAATAGGGAACTCCCCCGAATTTGGGCGTTAAAGAGTATATTTTATTACCTCTTTTCCGTTGAAGTTTCCGCAGAGACCACTGTAGTGGAACTGACTGGAGGTGTTGTGGTGAGAAAACCTGGGAGAAATATCAATGCTCACACTCGTTCCTGAAACACACAAAAAAAAACAGTTGAAAAAAAAAACAGATCTTATCGAGAAAATTTGAATTTTCAATTTTTCTCAAAAACAAGACCACTATTTTTTTACAAAACCAGAACACAAGACCAGAATATTACCCTTAAAATGTTTCCTTCAATCAGAAATTTTCGTTCTTTGCCTCAAAATTACCATTTTAACAATCAGTGGTGTAAATTAGCGGAGTCCGAAACCAGATCATTGTGATCAGATCACTCAATTAAAGCCACTTTGGTGAAAGTGAAATGTCCTTCAAGTACTTAAAGGTTAAAAGCTTGAACTTCATATTAAAATTGATCAATGTGTAACTTTTATCTCTATGAAGTCAGACACCTGCCAATCGTGTCTATGTTATTGTCCGCTCATATTTGCTCATTAATTCAATTGATACTTCTATGTACCCTATTTACTTTACGATTATAATTCAAGCTTATTATAGTTTAGTTTTAGTCGTGGTTTTAGGAGATATCACAGCCACTTACGTCCGTCCCATCTGATTTGAATGTGAAGGTCGCTGTCGAACTGCAACTCAATCTCGACATGTCTCTCGTCGCTTCTGCTGAGGTAGAAGAACCCTCTGCCATCCAACATGGGGTACTGTTTACTCACCAGCACTGCCTCCTCGTCATTCACGAAGGGGGAAGCCTAAGATAAAATCAATATTACGACTAGTAACAAGACTGCTCGTATATCAGGACAAAATCCTGAATGTTCCGACTACCCTCTATCGTCCATCACAAGTTTTCGAAAATCGGAACAACAACTTTTAAATAATGAGCATGGTATAATTGGGTCATCTTTTTAAGCTACAGAGGAAAATCGTTACAAACTTTCAATATAATTGCACGTTTTTTTCTCTTGATTAACCAATTTTTCAAGATAATAAAATAGATTTTTTTTCTCAATTTATGAAAGGTATCATATGATAGGGGGTCATTTTGTATTTTTTCTTTTATATGAATAGATTGTTTCAGGGTCAGCTCAAGTGTTCAGCCTAATATACATTGTTCTTAATAGCCCTATGGTCTCGAAATATAAAATTTAAGTACAACTCTTCCGCTTATTAATCTCATTATGATGATGATCACAGTTTTAAAATGCTCGCCATCAAACGATGTAAATTACTGAGCTCATCTGGTAAAAAAATTCCCAATATTTTTTATTGTTGATTTTTCAAAAACAATTTACCTAAAAATAAATAGCAACGTCGCAGAGAAAATAGCAACGTTTTTTTTTGGCTGGTATTGATGTTAAATTAAAGAAATTTTTATACCTCTCGTTGGAGGAAGATTGTGTCTGTTTCTGCTCCGTATCCGAATGCAATCTCCACGTCTTTGGTGCATGTTGCGGCTGTTGTTCCACAGGGTTGGTTTTCGGCCTAAAAAACATCGATTTACAATAGAAATCTTATTTTTGCTTGTTTGGTAGTGAAGACAAACTTAATAACAAAGCAAGTCAATAATTAACAAATTCAAGCGTAAATCTATAATCATCGGGAGTTTTTTTCTACAAAAGCAAATCTTTAAAATCTTAAAACCTTCAAAAATAAAATGAACTAGAAAAAACGATATTGAGTTAATAATAAAGCGTTAAGCTTAATTGCCAGAAAATGATCATTTTTCAATTGCCGACAAATCAATTGAATCTTTATTTTTTCCCAATTTACCGCCATCACCTAATTTCATCAGTTTACCATTACAAGTAGAATCAAACCACTTTATTAGAGATTAATTTTAACAGTCTGCAAATTTATAAATGTTTCTGTGAATTGCTTTTGTTGAAAAAAAGTTAAGAAAAACATTAAAAACTTATTTTTTTCAAACAGTAACATTTTTTTCACGTTTTGTTTTGCTTACCGTAATATGGACGATGAGTTTGTCGTTATCGTGTGAGTCGAACAACTGCATCAAAGAGTACTTGCAGCTGCCCTGGAAGTTGTACTTGACCCCGTCGAAGGTGATGTAATGTGGATCTCCCCATGCCTGGCAACTCTTGGGACAGTTGTCTTCGTTGCAGATCCAGCGAGAGCTCTGGCACTCACATGATTTGCATCCCCTGAGAAAATAATCAATGATGTATCATTACGAGACCAAAATTTTTATAGACACAAAAATGGTTTTTCTCGACTCGACACAGCTTTATGTATACTCGTAATTGGAATCTACAGTCAAATACTAACACTTCAAATCAGGTGAAATTAAAGATATTATTGCGAAAAATGGTGAAATTGTTTGCCTGAGTTGCTTCAATTTCCTATGAAGCGCATATAAGAGCAATATGGAGGGATGTCACGTACATTTTTGACAGTCGTGATTGTTTGTTTTATAACTTAATTCTTCCTTTTTTTACCCGAGCAGCCTGCTAGCACTGCTTGAAAAATTAATCTCATCTGCATACTTTTTTAATCAATTATGTGAAATACTTTTTTGTTGTCAGATAATTTTAGGAGGAAAATTGAAGGCAGATTAGTTTTTTAAAAGTTTTCTGAGAGTTAGAACAAGCTGCAAGCAGTTATAACCTCTCTGAAAGCTTTAAAATACTAGTCTGCCTCCAATTTTCCTCTTAAAACTCTCATAAAAAATGTTTCAAATAATTGATAAAATTATACAAATCATTTTAGTTAAAGATTAAAAACCTTGTCAAGAATTCTCCGATCTGGAACAGATTTCCCTCGTTGTCCTTGCAGGGACACTGGCTCCTCGGAACACACGACTGCCCGTCATCGGAGAGGACTTTGTCAGCTGGACACACACACCCACATGCAATCTCACCACACATGTCGTCCCCAGCCAACTCGTGGAAGTTTCCGTATCTGACGTCATCACACGTCTCCTGGCATCTGCTGTAGTCTGAACAAACAAACAAATGTGCAAATCTGAACAAACAAATGTGCAATAATGTTTTCAGTTTTTTTTTCAGAATCGAGATCTTCACACGATTTAGATGACAATTTAGTCAATGTTTCTTGAATTTCTTTAAGGAATTTATAAAACTAAGGGAGGTCCACCTTGTGCGTAAACTTGGCTGATTTTCAAAAGTTAACTGCTTAAAGCTAATCATCTTAAAAGAAACATTCCTTTTCTTGGTATAAATCATCAGTCTTGTTAATACTGAGCCATTATTTATTCACAAGTTTTTTTACTCAACAACAATAAAAAAAGCCTTGAATTTTGTGTGGTTTCCTCAAAAAAGGTATCAAAACATCAATTCAAGAAATTCTTATTGAATATTTTCTGCTTACTTTGTCTGTAAATGAATCCGTCTCGGCAGAAACTTTTGGCCTCCTTGGAACTCATATCGGGACAAGCGTCCAGGATCTTCCAAACACCCTCTCCGCATTTCCTGGAATAACAAACAACAACCCAAAATAAACAACGGCACTGATCAATAAATAAGCAAAAATATTAATATCAAAAACTATATCAAGTATGGCCATATGGCTAGCTCAAACTCTTTCGATACACTTCAATTCATTGAGGAGTTGCTGATTTTCAGAAAATCATTAAACATTTCCTTGCGGCGGTCACTATTATTGGCTGAATTGCCTGCATACTTTTGGCTGAATTGTCTGAACTTCAAATCGGCTGAATTGTCTTTGACCGAATTGTCTGGACGCGATTTATTTTATAGCATTAAGCTATAACTAACTTAACCAGTTTAACTGAGTTATATTTATTTTGGAGATTACATGTTTTTGTATGAAGAATGTTTTTGGCATGTGAAGAACAAAATTAGCAGCCATGAGTAGTAATTAATTAGGCTTGTAATTGAATGACTCACTTTGTTGTATTCCACGTTGAATTTCAGGGAAACTTTCAATGATTTTTTTTCTACAAATCTCATTTACAGCATAAAACCAAAATTCAACTTGACTAGTTTCACCCGGCCAATTTAACTAGCCATAGTTGAACCTAATTTAATTTATTTTGGAGACTCACAGGTGCTGCACTCCATAGGGGGAGATGACGACTCCTTTGTCGTATGTCTTTCCATCGAAGATACACTTGCACTGATCAGGCATCACACAACTCCTCTCCTCCTCGTCCAACACCATATCCTTCGAGTCACACTCACACCCTATAATAGAGGGTTATGTAATATTGCACTGATCAGGTTATGTAATATTGCATAGATAAGAGTTAAATTATGTAATCGTGATAAAAAAGAAAAGTCACAATCTCAGTCTTGAGGATGAAAAAAAAATTTGAGCAAGATAAGAGCCGTAACACATCTGCAAAACTATTTTAGGCTTTTTTTCATCACAACCAAAAAGTTTTGAATCGGTTACTAAACCAAATCAATAACTTTTGAATTCGATTGGACAGTGTTGATATCAATTGTGCATGAAATGACTAAAAACTGAAGATCTGCTTAACAACCTCCCCTTTTTCAAGAAAGGGGGAGATTGTTAAGTAGATTCAAATCCGGTACTAACGCTTGGATTGCAGATACACGAATAAAAGAGTCAAAGATGATTCGCTCACCTGGCAGATGGTCCTGGCTACATCTGGAAGCAGTCAGATTCAGTCCCCCGTACTTGCTCACTTCTTTGCACGTCACACTCTGGCAAGTGTTGATCACCTGCTTGAACTTCAGCTCACCGTGCGAACACGAGGGTGCTGCAAAGAGTGAACACTTAGTGCACAGAGCAAAAGTTATTGCAATTATCTTGTTAACTATTCACCCCTATGGCGCCTAGTACAGAGTTAATTAATACCCCTATTAAGCACTAATTCAACCGTTAAACATGTAAAAACATTCATTCCCTTTGGCAATATGGGGGAAATAGTTCAAAAAATTCAAATTATTCTACAAATTTCAAAATTGCAGAATTTTTCCCCCATTTTTCAAAAATTTTCCAGTTGTCTTTAAAATTCAAATGGAATTGGCAATAGGAAAGTTTAAGAGCGCTAAAATCTCATTTTAAATTTTTTTAAATCCGCAGCTAGAAAAAAAAACATCTTTTTTAGGAAAAAAAATCAATCTAAAAATGGACTTACAGCAGTACTTCTTGTACATGGCGAAGTTACTTCTCCAGTCTGCTCCATCCTTTTCCAGAAGACCACAGCTCTCTCCAGACAGCATGGCCTTATCCAGGGCCTGCTGTACATAGGCGTCCAGAGCAGTACAGAAGGTCATCTTCTGGTAGTCATCCGGCGCCTCAGAGTCGTAGTTGCAGGCTGCGTTGCTGAAAAATAAGATCAATTAGTTTCTAACAGTTGATGAATTTTTCTCAACATTTACATTGATAAAAATTCTTAATAACAATTGATAACAATTCTGGTGAATTTTTTCTCAACATGTAAATTAAACTAGAACTAGATAAGTACAATGGATGAGTACAATGGGTACTTAATATTTGAAACCATAAATGTCGGACATACAAGTTCCATTAACTAAAAATCAGTATTACTTGGTATTTTGTATCCATTCGTGTTTCAATCTTAATTTTGCGCCAGATTCGCGTAAAAAATAATCATGATACCATTTGATTGAACTTCAATTACAGTTATACGCTTTTTAACTTTGAGAAAAAATCTTTGAAAACGCGAAGGGTGCGGGAATCGAACTGGAAGTTACCTTGAGCACATGGTCTTGAAGTATCCGAAGTCTCTGTCGCTGTCAGTGTTCATGTAGTTGTTGAGGCAAGAGAAGATCTCATCTCCGGTGTCTGAGAACACGTTGCAGTGGTCAACCAGAGAAGTCCCGTCGTCCCTAAAACAGCGAGGTCAAGTACATGTCAAGCGAAGCTCTGATTGAATATAACAGAAACATATACACCTCCTTATGAGTTGCATTCAACAATGGGTTCATGGAGCTAATATTGATGAGCTATTGTAAGATGCAAATTATTACACAGAGGCGAAGCAGAGCTTCGCACTACTTGCGATACAAATTTGATTAAATACACGGGAAAAATTTGAAAAAAAAAATCAAAAAATCGTTTTTGTCAATAAAAAAGCGGTTTGAGGTAGCTGTGTCACCTCTACGCCAGATGCGCCGCATGGTTGGTTGAATTTGAATATATAATTACCATGCGGTAACAAAGCCGAAAATACCTGAGCAGAAACCTTTCATGCCGAAAAAATTCAAATAAATTCCTAAGTAATAAAAAAATTTTATGTCCCTTTTCCCCTAAGAGCACACAAACTTTTTTCGATCCCGAACGACGCAATAAGAGGCCACTAAGTTGATATAAATTAAGCCGAAACTTATTAACCCGATAATAAAGACAAAAAATGAAGAAAAAAAAGTTACAAATCGGGTTGCTAAAATAACAACCAGTAATAAAAACAAATTTCGATTCGGTGGGATTTTTAAAATGCTAAAACATTTGAAGCAACAACAGTGAAAATTGTTTACGGCAAAAAAAAAGATTCTTAGATCTGGCAACTAAGCCGACAAAACATAAGCAGACAAATCATAGGCCGATTTTTTTTTGAACCGGAATATTTAATGTTTGAACCGGAATATTTAACGTTCTAGTCAGTTCGAACCCGGGACCTTTGCCTTCCCAGGCGTATTCGTTACCTCCAAGCTAAGTATGCAGTCGACACTAAGAAAATTTAATTCATTATGAACCAAGGTACCACGAGTCCAGAGAGTCCGACGGACAAAGTTGTTTACGGGAAAAAAAGCCTAATTCCCGATTGCAATACCCTTGCGTATCGCAAGAGTAAACACCATTTAAAAAATGATGTTTGTAAATTTTTAAACTATTTCTTTTTTTGGGTTCAACGCACAGCTTCACTCAGCTAGAACTCAACTCGCTTCATACTATTTAATCTCGAACTAAGCAAAGTAACAACTCAATTAAAAAAAAATTCATCCCTAAAATTCTAACTTCGGCCTCAGTTTACCCAATTTCAACCCACTTACAATGCATCTCGGTCGCAGAACATGGGCGCCATGGAGCCTGGGAGGTTCTTGCACTCGTCTGAGATGGGTGGTTTGGTGTTCGAGAACTCAACTCCCATGGCGTGTGCATCTGACAGAAGCATAGAACTCTTCCCTGTGAACTCGTCGTGTCTGTTTCCATTGAAGGTACCGCAGAATCCGATGAACTGAAAGAGATGAAAAATATAAAACACGCTACGTTGTAAATAACCGAATGAAAAACTGGAAAAAAGATATCAACTCTATCATAACAGAAAAAAGGCAAACACAAGGGCAAAAAGACAACAAAACAGCAAGTACACAACACTCTATTCACAGTTTTTAGAGTAAAAAAACTTGGAAAAAGCGAAAAAATATTATCAATTTCTCAAGTTTACAGATGTTTGCCATTCCCTTCAAGTAATGAAAAAGTGAATATTTTACCCCTGAGTTTTCGAATCCAGATCCGGCCTTGATGTAGATGTAATTCATCCAGTTGTACATGATCCTGATGACTCCCCTGCCCTCGCAGAAGATGAGGATCCTCAGCCACTGCTCCGTGGGACTGTTCAACTCCACACTGCTGCAGGCCGGGTTAGCTGCCGAAGACATGATCCTACACACACGCATACCTTCAGCATTGTTTGAGACTATTTTCAACTTCAAAACATGACTTTCAAAACTCGTGCTTAAAAACGTCGACCAAAAACTGACGCTTGTTGTTCTTGAACTTCATAGCATGCTCAATCTTCTGTGTATCTTTTGATTTGACTAATGCTTCGGTGTTGGTTTAGACACTTTATTGCTCGCTTTCTCTTGAAAATATACAAAAAATACTGGCTGCCATGACATCATTACTAAAATACTCATTGCTTCAGTGTTGCTTTAAGGAATTTCAAATTTTGAAAAATTATGTCTATCAAAAATAAACATTCTGCTACCAAAATTGGCACAATCAAAATATTTTCTTAACGTCACGAAAAAAATCAACTTCATGATGGAGCAGCTGAATTTTCAATTTTTTAGATGAAGATTCAAATTTTTGAGCGAATTCAAAATTTAATTTTATTTGGATGACGTGGATGACTCACAGCTCCCATTTGGGCTCAAAATAAAACGCCTTGATTTCTTAAGGGTAGTGAAACGTTTGCAGAAAAGTCAAATTTATGTTTCCGACTCTTTGTTTGTTTCTGATTTTTCGACATCTTTTCATAAATATATTAAAACTGAAAGCCTGCAGGTTTAAACAAATTCATAATTCATGGAAATTCTTAGTTTTCTTCTAAATCTTTCAATAAATAGGTCAAAATGCAGCAGGCCTTAAAAGCAAACTAAGTATATTTTTAGCTCTTACATTCTAGAGTTCTTTCCCACGGAGGACAGTTTGTACCCATCCAGCATCACTCCACTCCTGTCGAAGGAGATCACTTTGGGAGTCTTAGAAGTGTAGTCCAACACAAGACGACCTGGAAGCAAAACAGAATCGATGTCGAAAATATTTTTTGATACAATCGAAATCGAAAAATTATGACAGAAAAATTATTATCAGCTCGATTCTAATTTCAGCTTCAAATGGCTTTATTGCAAACTAAATACTGAAACGTTCCTCATAACAAACCTAAGAACAATTCTAGTCTAAAAGTTGGATCGAACTTGGATTATGTTTATCACGATGAAACTTTTTCATGCATTTTTTACAATAACTGCATGATAGAACTTGGCAACACTTCTTCTGAGATAATTTTTTTTCCGAAAATTTTTTATACAAGCTGTATTATTTGATAGTGTGAATTGATTTTGTAAAACTATTCAACCCAATTTGAGCGACTGAGCAAACTGACCTCCTTTGTAGCATCCGAATGAGTCGTGTTGGCCACAGTACTCGTTCTTCTCAGTAGTCGCCCAGAGTCGGAATCCCTCGGACTCGCTGTCGTCGATCAGCACAACATCACATGTGGAGGGGTACTGCACAAGAGAAACAAGATGTCAAAAAGCACCAAAATATATTTCTAATTATAATATTCAGATGTTATTTATCAAGTTTGGAGAGGGAAAAGATACGGTTTAAAATAGTGGTCATATTCATGGGACAATTTTCAAGAAATTTAAAATGATGTGCAATTAAATAGATTGTTTTGCAAGTCGATTTAAAAAGATTTTGAAAAATATTTATAGAACATATATCTCTCGATATGACAAGGAAATATCTGAATTAGTTTTCAATATAATTTTGATAGTGATAATTGTGACAACTCAGATAATTCTGTCGAGCTAAAAAAAAAAAGAAAGAACCAGGAAAACGAATCGCAACGTTTTGCTAAACTAAATTTAGAAAAACTCTCATAATGTAATTCACAGATATCTAACAAAATTTTCTGATATCTAACTAATACAAAATATCTAACCTAAGTTAATTAACCATTCAGTTAATTAACCAGTCAATTAACCATTCAGTTAAATTAACCATTCAGTAAGTTTACCTGGAAATAGTATCCGTCGAAGGTGGCGTAGTTTGGGTGTCCAACTACAGAACAGGTCTTCTCACACGGGTACTCTTCACACTCCCAAATTCCATACTCTTTACACAAACTGCAGAGGGAAAAGAAGAAGAAGGTATGAACAAACGAACTTTGAAATAATTTTGACAAAAAAGGAGAAGAATTAATTTATCCAAGAGTATAAATTACATAACAACAAAATACTGATGGTACGAAACCGTTAGAAAGGTAGATAATGAGATCAGCTGCTATGCTCTGTCTACCTTTGAAAATTACTAGGAACGCTACCATAGTTATGGATTTAAACTGAATCATAAAAATTGCTAAATTAATTAAAAATATATATGAAAATATATAAAAAGAGCATTCATCGATTTGAACAAAAGTGAGAAATAACAAAGGAGATATGCACGAAGGAAAGCTATGATTGGTATCAAGCAATGGATTATAACAACATATCACCTTGAAACTCTGATTCAGTTTTATGCCTGAAGTTAAAAATAACAAAGAAGCTCTCATTGATTAAAATTGAACAATTGTCAAACTCATGTCATTTCCGACAGTCGTTCTAAAGTTCGGCAAGTTGAAGAAAAACATCCAAGTTTGCATTTTCTCGGAAAATGACTTCATTGATGCATGTTAACACTTGAACTAAAGCGCGTTACTGGTACTCTGCCAGTCCTTGATTTAACTTTAAGATGATTACTTTTTAATTACAAAAGATGAGCTTTTTTGAAGAAAAAAAATTAGTATTTATCGTCTTACTATCTCTAACAGTCCTTGGTTAAATTTTAAAATGATTTCTCGCTCTGTTAATTAAGAGAATAATACTTTATAATAACTACTATTTTAGATTTTTTTTGAGAAAATATATAGTATCAATTGTACCATCTCTGACAGTCCTTGGTGATGTACTCGTCGACCATGTATGTCTTGTCATCATACAGACACACGCAATCCTCACTCTTGACACAGTCGTAGGGGGGCTGGTTGGATCTCACGAACCCCTGTGCACAGTAGCACCCGGGAACACGGTCTTCGTCATCTGGGGGCAGAAAAAGAGTGTGAATAAATTTACAACAGTGTGAAAAAATTTACAACAGTGTGAAAAAATTTACAAGAGTGTGAAAAAAATTTTAAAATGGTGAAAATTTGAAAATGAACGTGAAAAACGACAAAATATTTCATCCAATCAAAATTTTAAAAATTTAAAAAACTGGTAAATTGAAATTTTGTCATGGAATGACCTACAAATATAAAATCAACAGACATTTCAATTATGAAAATCAATTAATTGAAATTCAAACCGAGGTCGTTAAAGAGAGGATCCCATCGTAATTCAGATTCATGTATTTCAAGATGTTCACCATAATTTAAAATAAAATTGTTACTTTACAAGTGATTAAAGAACTCACCGACAGACTTGAGCGCAGTAATGTATGCACTTGGCAGCTGTCCACACATTTGTTGAACTCCGGGGCCGATCGAAGTGTACATCTCATTTCTGCGGGCACAGTGGTGGGCTGAAACACAAGTATGCAACAGTCATTCAACAATATTATGTAAATTTAATATCAACCAAACGAAGCTTCGAAAACAGCTGACACTCGGGAATCCGAGAAAATTCCTAGCGGGAATCGAACCTTAATCGTATGCCTCTAAATCAAGAAAAAAACTCACCAAGTCCGTTTAATACGATTTCCCTTTTCACCACGATACAGGATATACAGAAAGTTTCAGGCTGCAAAGACTTATAAAAATCTTTTGCAATTTATCAGAAAAATGGTCCCAGCCGGGATGGATATCCCCAAGTGTATAACTGGTAGCAGCAAAATTACATACTACCTTCGTTGGATTTATTCTCCTCAGTGTAAAGACTCATCGCAAACAGGATTCGATTACTAAACTCTTAAGCCACAATGAAATAATTAATGAGATCACTTCGAGTAAAGCATACATGCGCCTTATTTCATCCTATGGATTCGATCTAGAGATTGCAAAATGAAATGAACACACATATTTTGTGCAGTATTATACCTCAAAAAATAGCAAAGTTTCATGTGGGATTTGATCACAGCACCTATAATTCCGATCCGATTAATGACCAAACTTACGAAACCCATTGGATTCGGTCTCTTGATTGTAGATTGTGTTGTACATAGGGCCTTGAAATAGCCAGTTAATATGCTTTTTGAATGTGTTCCAATAAAAGCGCCTAATGGGAATCGAACTACTGACCTATGAATAAAGAAAAAACTTACGACATCCGTTGGATTCGATCTCCTGGTTACAGAGTGTGTTGGACACACAGACAGTGTGATATGCCTCGAATATCTGACACACTTCCTCTGCTCTGTCAACGTCTGTGGTGAGACAGTAAGTGGCCATACACATCTTCATGTACTCTTTCACGTCCACCTGTGCAGAACAGAAAAGAACTTGATAGAATGAACTAGTTCAGAAAATTCTAGAATGTTATGGAGAACAGCAAAGAACAGATTATAATTAGTCTAGACTTTGTCGAGTTTTATGGAAGAATGTAAGGAAAAAAGACGTCCAAAAGCGAAGCAGACTGAATAATTATTTTCACTCCAGCTGAAGTTGCTGAGACTGCTTGCTTGCTTCAACATGAATTCATAAGCCGAAAAAAAAACAAATCCAAATTGGGATTAAATTATTTAAGCCCCTCATTTTCAAGTCTTCGCGTGAAGCAATACTCGAAAGAAAAATGGAATGTTCTAGAAGAACTGAAATTGAAGTTTGTGTCCAAATAAACTTACGGTGTCGGTTTTTGCTGAGCAGTTCCTGTAGATGCCAGTCTCGAGGGGGGCACAAGCACTGACTGCCTGTCTCCAGAAAGACTCCTCCCCCTGTTCTGTCCTGATGCAGGGATAGTCGGGGTCACGGTAGGTCACAAGGTACTGTTACAACACACGCAATTCAAAATTAATTAGTTCGCCAGACAAGGAAAAGAAACAAGTATTCCGTAACTTTATTTAATGAAAATTTATATTTCAATTCATATTGTAGTTAGAGCTGTAATTGCTTAAAACAAAACATAATTTGAAAACGACACACGAAACAAACAGTGCCGTGTTACTTTTTCGTACTTCTATTGTTGCGTTTCCTACATGAAAAACAGCCAGTAAGCTGCTTATAATTTTATATATTCAGATGAAAAGTTAGTTTGAGGCAAAAACATTACTATTAAACCATGTTAAAAGCCTTACCTCTCTCGGAGTTTCCTTCATGAACTCTAGCCAGTAGTTGGCCAGTCCGTCGGCAGTCTTGTGTCCAGCCTTGCTCTCCTCGTAGCCGATCTCTTTGTTGTCATTGAGGGGGTCGTAGTCGTTGTTGCCACACATTCCAAAAGTGCCACCCTCGTACTCTTCACAATCCAGCTGCAAAAGGAGACAACTATCATTCACACAACTGATTACTAACCGTGAATTACTTGAAATCCAAATTTTCTTCAAGGTATCAAGCCAGTCTTTGTGAAGACATGACAAAATTAAAAAAAACTAAACTGAGAAAAAAAACAGTTCTTGAAGAATTTCAAGTTATAATTGAAATTCATTACAGTGACATATGAACATGGACAATTGCGGGAATCATGAAAGCAGGAGCGGGTCTTACATGTTTGAGTTTCCATGAGGTGAATTTTCAAAATCGGGGTGAAAGCTTACCGGAAAGGGGGTGCATGAAACTTTAAGAAGGCCAGCCCAGGAACGCACCAAAACTTCCGGGCGACAACGTTAATTTTTTTTTGTTTTAGGTTCTTGTAAACTTTTTCTCGCACCCATTGCAAAAGTTGGGAAAATCGTTACAAGGTACCAAATTAGTATACCTTTAATCGCTGATTTAGTTCCTTATATGGGTGACAATTTCTTTTACTAGGTAGTACCATAGGAATCGGTGCGAACAGTTCACATGATGCATGTTTTGAAGTAACTCTGACTCACTCTCAGACTCCAAGAGGTCTTTCCGTTCCAGTAGAGTCTGACATGTGGCTTGAGATAGAGCACCCAGAATTCACTGCTCTCCTTGTTGAGTCGGATGTTGGAATCTATGTACTCACTTCTGTCCAGCTAGAAAGAGAGACACCAAATTATACTTTGAATTAAGGATCAATTTACTTGTGAACAGTGGCAGGAGGGGGGAGGGGTGTGGAAAAGAGCCGGCCTTGGTACTTACACTGATGTCCTCATAAAATTTTTATTTAGGATGTTTAACTAGAGTGAGAGCTCGGAAGAGATTCAAGTCCAAAATCTTCACCTTCCAAAAAAAGTCTTTTATGCCCAAATCTTTTACTCCAAATGTAGGCAGTCGGGGGGAGGGGGTTGTGTGTACTTACACTGATGTCCTCGTACTGGGCTGAGCTGTTCATGAGGTCTCGTTGTCTCACCACTCCGTCCATGAACTCAAACTCATACCTCTTCGTGTCACTGATATGTGCTCGGAACACCAGCTTCTAAAACACACAACACACCGAAGGGTTAAGGAAACGCTTCATTAAACTCAAGAAATTTTAAATGTGTCGTTTTGTGTTGTAACCATTTGTATTTAATTTAAATCTTAGTGTTCCCACCGTTGAAAATGGAGATGAACTTTATATTCGGTTGTTTCTTTTTTGTTTTTGTGAATCAAGCGAGCAAAAACATTTGCCACAAACAATCAGAGGACTGGGTTGAGTGATATATCAAATTAAAACCCTTTCATCCCTCCCTGGTTCATGCGACATTGAAAAGTTTTCAAAATTTCCAATTATTTCCAGTTTCCAATTAGAGTTTTTCAATTTTTTACTGTTACTTCGAGCGAACCAAAAAACCTGCAAAAAAAAACATTTCAAAATTTTTAAGATTTTTTTTCTTTTCTAATCATTCTCCGACTAAAACTGTTGTCCATTTTGCCAATTTTACGAAGAGGGTTGAATATGTTGTAGTTTTAGGCTTTCGTTCAAACTTTTTATCACCCACGCATAAAAAAGTCACTCAGAATATATGGTCAAAAAATGGTCGGAAAATTCTGTGGTACTTGCACAGCAACTGGCTATTCAGGTTTTCAATTGAAATTCGGTTGAAACCTGCAATTTATTAACCCGAAGACAAAGATAGGAATTTGATTTAAAATGAAATTGAATTTTAGAAGCTAATCGTCGAAAAAATTTATCTAATCGCATTGAAAGAAAAATAAACATTTATCGGAGAATTTCAGCACAACACTTACATGATGTTATATTTTATGTATTTATACAAAGGCAAAGCTGAACTTCGCAAAAACTAGCGAGAATACGACAAAAAAGCAGCTATATAAAGTGAAATAAGAAAAGATGGAAATAAGCCTCGAAGTAGTAAAACTTTGCTACGTATGGTCTTCGAACCTGCGACCTCGAGAATTGGAGTCTAACGTCTACTCTCTCGGGTACGAACTCTTAACAACAGGCAAACACTAGTCACAAATAAAGCAGCTACATATGCTAACAAATTGCCATTACGATGCAGCAAGAGTGGCACCAAATACAAATAGACACAATTTTGCAATTAATAGTTTGGAATATAAGAAACTGAATGCACACTAACTTTGCATGTAATAAATTGGAAAGCATAAAGCAACATTATATATAAAATATGCATTTCGAAAATTGCGTGATATATTGAATTAGAAAATTTCTCAAATCGAGTTTTTATTATTGTTATGTTGTTCGAAACCAATAGCTTTTTTCGGTTCAATTGATAAAATGCATTAACTGTGTTATCTTATTACTATTCGAATGTCAAAGCGCATGCTATTAAGAAACCGTAAAGATGCCTCAAAATTGGCACCATATTTGCGACTTAGGTAAGTAAAAAAAAAGACTAATCGTAATAAAACACTAACGCTCACTAAAGTTTGCTCGTGTAATTACACTGGTGTCTTTTTATTATATCTTTATAATAACCTTCATTTTTATTCTACTCAACGTACCTTCTTGATCTTGCCCTGGCTCAGCATGAATGCAGTGACGAATTCGAAGAAGGGGGTGCCATCCTCTCTGTTGAACTGGGACATTAGGTAGCTGTTCTCTCTGGGTTGGAAGGCGAAGATGTGTCCGTCGAAGGATCTGACGTTGAAGGGCGAGTAGGACTCACAAGAGCACACTTGTCTATCCTCAGAGAGAGTGGCTGCAAAAAAGAGCAGTTAGTTATTATGAACGTCCAACACTAGCTGTAAAAAAAACATAAAAGTAGTCTTCTTTCAGATTGGCTGCGAAAAGAACATTAATTAACTATGAGTTGCGAAAATTAATTATAAAAGGACAATTTTTTCATAATTTAATGTTAGGGTCTTTATGAAATGTTAGCAAGTTTTTTAAAAGGGCAAGTTTTCTTGAAATATTGTTAGTTTGAAAATATCAGAGTTAAAAACAGATATCAACAGTTTGGTTTTAAAAGATTTAATAATCATTATAATTTTACTTCAACATATTTGAGTATTTTTCTCGGCACGATAAGATATGAACGTTCGTTTAATTTTCAATTGAACATTTTCCCCCCGAAATAGTCAAGAAAGAGTGAAAATGTTCTGTTCTAGAGAATATTTGAACAAAATCACAGAATTTTTCAAATATTCACTTCGCTTCTTGAAGTTCCAAAAGAACTTCAAGAAGAACTTTCATTGTCTATTTCAAGAACATACACGAATGACATTTCGGCCCAAAACTCTATAATTAGAAAAACTATTATGCTTTTAGTGTTTGTTTGAACTCTATAATTAGAAAAACTATTATATTTTTTAATGTGTTTGTTTGACTGTTGACTCACGATTGTATTTCTTGTCGATGAGTCCGGAGTCGAGCATGAACTTCTTGTACTCCTTCTCATTCCACTTCACACTGCTCACACTTCCTGGAAGTCCTGGCTTCTCATAGTCTATGATCTCTACACAAACAAACAAGAAATAAACAACGACTAACTAAGAAGAAAGATTTATTTCTCCAATAATAATCATCATAAAGTCAATTAAGTCAAAAAATTGAAAAGAAAAAAAAATGGTTTTATAGTTTAATTTCAAGAATTCCACAGCACTATAAGTGAATACAAAAGACAACTAGAAACTATGGAACCAAAATATCAAAAGCTTGTTCCGCTTCGCTTATATTTTGCACTAGAAATAGATAAGTCCTTTGCGCTAATCAAGGTTTTTCCATATCTGTAGAAAAATAGACTGAAAAGAACCCAGTAGTCGCATGTTCCCTTTTATACGTATAAAATGTCTTGATTCTCATGAACGCAATTATGAAGATTGTTTAACAGCAATGAAGACCAACAGTGCAAGAAATGTTGCTTAAAATATTATGTCGACTCCGTCATTTCTCAAGCATTTTAAACTTCTCTTGGAGTAAAAGTCAAAAGTGTTTTATTGCCTGTAAAACTAATTATACAATTCTGGGTAGCAATATGACGATCTCCCTTTAAAAAGCTGAAATGATATTTGAACTCCATTGAACATAAACAGAGAAACTTCAAAATAAGACAGCCTATAGATTTAAATCTTGATTGACTAAAACTATTAACTTGAATTTCTGCATGAATCGTTTCTGATTGGCTATTCTATTTATTATAAGTTTTTAAAAAATCAGAAAAAGTTGGATTAGAAAGATATTTTTCAATCGATCAGATTATGATTCGAGACCCTTTTGATTCCAATGAATCCCAAAATACTCTGATGATTGATTGATGTTAAACATTCGTCGCTGGATATTTACCTGAGCCATTTTCTACAAAATTTCATCTCATTATTCTAGCGCAAATAGTGGATTTTATGTCAAAAACTGATTATTAATAAAATCGTTAAAAACAATCAGTTGTGTATTCGCAGCATAATTGTTAGGAATATTATCTGTGAAAGATTGTGATTTTTAAAACGAAGAATAAATCGTATTAAGAACATTTTCCAAAAGGGAACGTTCTTGTGGAGTTGACAATAAAATTAAAGATCATAACAATCATTGAAAAATCATTGAATATACAATCACAAAAATCAATGAAAAAAATTCGTGGCAAAATTCATTGATTCGCGGAATTATAATCTTAATAAACTTGATGGCTCTTTTTCTTTTTTCTCCACCTCACACCAGCATCAATTTTTTGGTATAAAGAGTTGTTTTACAAAGTTGATTATGCAGACCAATTATGTTTGCCATGGCCTTATTAGTCTAAATGTCAATTTTCATAACAATCGGACAATGTGGACAATAACTTTACTTGTAAAACTTGCAGATGGGGGGAAGAGCCAGCTTGACTTAAACCAAAGGAACCAAATATAGCCATTTGATTGAATGACTAAGCAATCTTAAAAGATAAGGAGTTTTGAGGTACGTACCATCGCTGCAGTCATCTCCCTGGTATCCCTGGCAACACTTCTCTGGAATAGACTCGTCCGCCTTGAACTGGGCGATCAAGTAGCGACTGTCCGGAAGCTCGCTGCAAATAAAAAGAAATAAAAAAAACAATCTATTAGTTTCAAAATAAGATAGAAAGATCCCTGCGGTTTACAGTCAGGGCAAGAACACATGAAATAATGCTATGAAGGAACTGGAAGTTGGCAGAAATCATGAGAAGTTTGTTAACTACACCGAACTTCTCAAAAAAAGCGAAAAAATTAGCATAACAAAATCAAGAAAAATACATTTTAAAAATAAGTTAAAGCAAACTGGTTAAAAACAGATTTTCTTTAAACAAACATGTAGAAAAAAGACTCCGGAAAAATTAAATAGATGTCAAAATTATCATGGCAGTTCCAGAAAAGTTTAAATCGATGTATCATCGATGTATTTCAATCGAATTTCTTTCTAGCCAAAATTCATCAACAGTCTTCAGAGTGAATGACAAACTAATCCACTTATGACTCACTCTTTTGAAATTTATGACTCAACTAATGACTCACCCTTGGTATTTGCACTTTCTCAGATTGGGATCATGCTCTACCAGGTACATCTTCTCTGCGTATTCCATCGGAACCTAAATGAACAACAAACTTTTCATACTTTGATCAACCGCCACTTTGAGGACTTGAAAACTCCAATTTTCAGTTCTAAATTTTTAGGCCTAACTTAGGAGAAATAAATTCTTTTTTTCTTTCTTTCTTTCTTTCTTTCTTCTTTCTTTCTTTCTAACTGAGACAATTATAGACTTAAAAAAAGCGTATCACTCATGTATTTAAATATGTTTTATTCATTTTTAATTACACCCTTAAAATTTGCGCAAAACTAAAATTATACAAATTCAGCTACTATCAAGACCTTAAAAAAATTACTAAACATATCCCTACATTTTCCAAATATCTGTGATTTTGATTTCTGAACCATTTTTTTCGAAAAAAAATTGAATCGCAATTTAATTTCCAAAAAATTTGAAGCAGCTAATGGGCAGACCTTTAAATGTTTTTAAGAAAATAACAAGTTTTCTTTTTTTATTTAGCCAATGACTAATTGAGAAGTAATTGGGCAAATATTTCTCAAGGAAATCCATAACTTTTTTTAAAATAAAATGGTCAAAACTAATTTAATTGTTAAGTTCTACGGCGTTCTCGCAAATTGATTTCAATTGGTTTGTAAAATTTCTTAACTTTAAAATTATTGGGGTCTTATTTGCAAATTTTTATTATAATATTACAGATTTAATCTATTTATCCGAATACTAACCGGAAAGCAGTCGTTAGACAGATATTTTTTTTAAAGAATCTCACTTTTTATTTTAAAAAAATTGTACAAATTAATTAACTGTTTTAATTATTTATCCGAATTCTAACCGGAAAACAGTCGTTGGACAGATATATTTTTAAAGAATCTCACTTTTTATAAAAAAAAAATTGTACAAATTAATTAATTGTTTTAATTATTTATGCGAATTCTAACCGGGAAGTAGTCATTGGGCAGGTCCTTCACACAGAACACTTCATCGCCTGTGGAAGAGTTAGTCAAGAAGACATCCTCCATTTGCAGTCCCAGAAGAGGCAACATAGAGGCAGTCAAGTCCCCCATTTCATACCTCTCACAGAAGGTAGACGAAGACAGGTCTACTGAGATAGCACTGAAACAGCATCAAACATTTATAACTTATTCAGTTTGAAAATATTAACACTTAATTGATTTAGAAGAGTAAAAATTTGACTAAACTGACTAAAAATTTGACTAAATTGACACGAAATATTGACTATTTTAAAACATATCACATAGGAGGTGCATGATGAAAGATCGATCTATTGAGATAGTCTGAAAAACAATCAAGCATTTATTGTTCAGACCAGTAATTTTTCGAAAGCAATTTTTATGCTTGCTCCTATTGAGGTTCCGCACAATTTTTTGATTTTTTATTTGAACATTTATTTCATACATTTCGCCAAATTTTCGTTTTTAAAATTACACGTCCATAGTTACTCATTGAGAGTGATTACACAATTATTATTACACAACGATTGCGTAATTATTATATAATTATTACAAAACTCACCTCCATAGCAGTAGCACCGCTGCTATCATTGGCACACTGGGTTTCCGGTGGTTTGCCCTTTCGGGACTTAGGCTAAACTGAAACATTAGTAAAACACTAATGCTACTTTCAGTTCACTTTCTGAATTTTATTACTTTCAAAAATTTGAATCAAACTGGGAAAAATTCACAAATTTATTATCAACTGATAACAACTGAGAATAGTTGGAAAATGGTTCCCAACTTTTTACTCATCTTTGTTTACAAACATGGTCGCATATTGTCTTTTGACATTAAATTTAATTAACTAGTTTTTATTATTTTTCCGCCTTTTATTTGGATTAATAACTTTTTAGTTTGATCTGAAGTTGAAATTTATTAAATACTGTGCCAGTTATGAGTTAAAACTAAAATTTTTAAAATTTTTTTGAAGATTTAATAAATAATACCATATGGTGTTAAGACAAGATGCCATTTGAAAAAAAAACAAATGATGAACTTCAAAATTTTGAACTTTTTTTTTCATGACTTTCAAAAAATTGAAAATCTTCTAAAAACCAATTAACTAGTTTAAAAACAACGCAGATCTCAAGAATAAGTTAAAAAAATTAATTGAACTATTATTAATTTTTTCGTTTCAATTGGTAAAAAATTAGATTTCACATCAATTAAAGATGGAGAGAATTTTCCGCGAGAGGGAGAAATTTTTAATTAGATAGAACACACCAAAAAAGCGGTTTCAGGCAGTTTCATGAATGTTGTGTTCAGAAATCATGTTTTTGGGCGCATCCCAACTAAACATTTGTACAAAAAACCACAACGACGGCGCCTTCAGAATAATTTTTATAGCTGATCGGAAAAAAATGGGTTGTCGTGAAGGCGTTTCAAAGAAAGCTTTTCTTGGTCCTCGGGTCAATTTCTTCATGTGGGTTGCTTAACACCCCCAAAAAAGGGGCCATAGTTCCTGTTTTAGTTTTTTCAATCAGAACTTTTTAATCCTTATCAACTCCATGCACATAAAATTTTCAGGTTATAGAGGCTCATTTATAAGTAGTCTTAAATAGCCGGAAATTGCAAAATGTTGTCAGTTGTGGCATTTGAGGAATCGCTATTTTAATCTGTTTTGTCCGCTTGAGTTATCTTTTTTTTTATTGCAGAGAAGACGTTGTGCACGTATAAGAGCATTATTTGTTTATCTGACATGATTTACATATGCAACCTGGAAATTCATCGAGGTGTAAATTTCAAATCTTAACAATTTTGTAAAAGCTGATCGAATGTGCATTGGATCAACTAGTCAAGCATTTTGAACAATCCATATAAGTTGCTGAATACAAATAGTGAGCTTTTTTAAAATACTTCTCAGCACTTGGATAAAAAATAGAAAAAAAAGAGAAAATTTTGGCGACCAAGGATTTATTGCACTTGGTCAGACCAGTTTTCAATTAATTAAGACGATTCATTCACGAGAGGAAGGATCAGCATACGAGCTCTTCAGCTCTTGATGGAGAACCACTGTTGTGCCCCTGGTTACCATTGACATACCAAGTTTTAAAATTGACTAGATAAATCAAAATTATTAGGCGGCATCTCAGCCAATAACAAATAATACAAAACGTTTGTTGTTTTATGTTCAAAAATCTTCTAAAATTTTCTAATATTTCCTAATATTTTCAAATTTAGTTTGCTTTAACAATTTCAATTTATTATGGCAAAGAAATTTTTACACAGAGAGGCGAAGCTTAGATAATAAAACAGACAATAAAAAGGACAAAAACGCCCTTAAAGGCAATAAAAACATGAAATCATTTTATTATTTTTTTCAAAAGTTTCAGCTGGGAAAAAACACGCTCCTGAATATCGTGTGACACTCGCCATATATTTTCGTTGACAAAACAGTCAAAACAACATCGCAAAAGAATAAAGAAAACAAAACTGTTGGAAACTTCTAAACTTGTTTTTCGAAAAATTTTGACATATGAAGAAAATAGGATATGGCATCAACTTGAATCAACTTAAAATAAAAATACTCAATCTTATAACACAACAATAAATTGAAGCTAAAACTAATTCCACGCAATGCTAGATTAAAAATAAGAAACCTTGCATCAAAAAAACTTTAAATCTAATGCATATTTTTTTCAAACTTCAAAAAAAAAAAATTCTAACAGAAAATTTTGGCGTGTTTAAAAACTAGGAAACCATGAACTATAATTACCTTCTAGAAAATTAAGAAAAAAATGATTAAATAATCTACGAAAAAAGTTAGGAAAAAAACACCAGTAAGCCGACACAAATTGGTACGAAATCAATAGGCCGGGAAAAAAATCAATTCATGTCTGAAAAATTTGTGCGATCCAGAGGTGAGCATAATAAATTATGTTTTCCTAGAAACGACTCAAATAAGGTGACTATGCCGATAAATCAAAAGCCTAACACATTTCGGCAGCATAAAATTTTTAAGGGAAAAAAAAACAAAGGAAGAAAATTCAGGCGCTCCAAGGCATAACATAACAAAACATAAACAGATAAAAAATAAGCCGACAATTCTTTCGAACCCAAATATGCAAGAGTATGGCCAACTGTTACAGTTTTATGAACAAAAAAAATGAGTTTTATGACACAGAGGCGAAGCGGAGCTTCGCACCACTTGCAATACAACACTAACATAAAATAAAAAGATAAAAAGCCGAAAATGAAAGTTCTTGAAGAAAATTTAGGTCATATAAACTTTCATATGTCTCGATAGAAGATCATTCCAGGCAAACATGCCAGACACTTGAATTTTAAATCAAGAACAATGAACAAACATTTTACGAAAAGAAACAAAGCCGACAATCTTTGAATAGACACAAGTTGAGCCAAAAAAATACGATTTTATAAAAAATCTAAAGTTCTACCTTAAACAACAATGGACAACAATTGCACTTGCTACTACAATGAAAGTTGTTTAAAGTATACGAAAAATCAGTGATGTGGCAAGTAAGCCAACAATCATTGAGCTGAAACCACTTGAACCAATAAAAAATGATTTTTTTTTAAAAATCTTTCAAGCCCCCATGAAACTAGAATGAACAGCACTTGCACTTGTAACTACAATAAAAGTTGCTTACAGCAAGAAAAAAAAACAGTGATGTGGCAACTAAGCCGACCATCTTTGAGCAGACACCAACTGAACCGAAAAAAAAAACAATTTTATGAAACTTTTTTTTTGAAATCGTTCAAGCCCCCCTTGAAGTTGGAATGAACAACATTTGCAACAGCTTTTGCAACTACAAGGATTATTGTCTACAGCACAATCAAAATCCGTTGGGGCAATTTAGCCGACAAAACATGAGCGAACAAACGAAAAACCTACAATTCATTTTCGCGGAATTTTTTTTTCTAATTCCCTTGATACAGAAAAAAACAAGATCCGGCCACGACTCGAACCCCAAACCTTAGGGTACAAAGGCAACTTTTTTTATCTCCAGGGCAAGAAGGAAGCAACCTGGAACATGCTAAGAGAAAAACAGAAGAAAAGCGAAGAGAAGATAAGAAGAGAAGTAAAAACAAGTGATTCAACTGATTCTGCTAAACTAATTGTTAACCCGAAAAAAAGAGTCTTTAATAAAGTTTGATAACGCTTGCTTATCGCTAGCGTAAACAAGCAAAAATGTAGCTGTGGAAGATATTAAATCATTTTCTCATAGTCATATTATTAATATCATGAAATTGTTATAAAAATGAAATAAAACGATACAGAAATGCTACACAGAGGCAAAACTGACCTTCGCACCACTTGCGATAGAAATATGAATGTTATGAAAATCAAACGGAAAAAAAATCAAAAAATTGATTTTCACACAAAAAATGTCTTAAGAGCTCAAAACAACCGGAACAAAATTGCCTGCACCATTAGAAACTCAACAAAGAGCTTTGGGAATGCTATGCAGAAGCCAAGTTTTCAAAAAAGACCGTTCTGTGGAACTAAGCAGACAAAAATAAGAACACAGACGATAAGCTAACTTAGCCAAAATTTTCTCTTTGGAAAAAAACAAGTCTTAACTGGAATTTAATTCCCGGGCTTTGTCGTCTCAAGCATGTGGGTTACAGCAATTTGGAATAAAGCTGAACAATCGACCTACGGGAACTAAGCCGACTAACTTGTCACAATAGACTTCTCGGCACAGGAATGTTTTATAATTTGTTTAATGTGGTTCGAATAACAACTGAAAGGGCTTTAATATGATATATCGCTCAACCCAGTCCGAAGATCGTTTGTGGTACCTGATTTTGCTTGAAAAAAAAAACTAAAACACACGAATACAAAGTTCCTACCAATTTCCAATGTCCAGAATAAAAATTGTTCAAAAGATCGGACCTAAATTTGAACAACCTACTTAGCGCGAACGAATCTCAGACTTAACCTGTAATTGTCTCGCCGGGAAAAAATTAGAAAATGTCGAAAAAACCAGATCCATTAAAATGAATCAGACTAAATTTGGAACAAAAAAACGTCAAGACAACAGAATGTGAAATTCGCATCGAAAGAAAATTTACCAAGCGGTAAAAAAGCCGAAAATACCTTAGCAGAAACCCTTTAAGTCGAAAAAAAATCAACATGACTTAAGACTTATAAAAAACTAACGATTCCCTTCACTGAAAACACACACACAAAAAAAATCAACTTGACTTAAGACTTATAAAAAACTAACGATTCCCTTCACTGAAAACACACACACAAACTTTATTTACTCGTCAAATTAAACAATATGAGGCCATCAAGCCAATATAAAATAGGTTGAAACCTGTTACGCCTAAAAAAAAGAAGATTAAAATATCAAAGCCGAAAAAAAATTCAAAATTTAAGGCTGATAAAAAATTATTAAGTCCCTATTACACTCAAAACACGCACACGCACACTCAATTTTTTTTAGCTCGCCTAAAAACGCAATATGTTAAGCAGATATAATACAGTCCATTAAGCAGATATAATATGGGCGAAATCTATCAAGCCGAAAACAAAGGAAAAACAAACGAAAAAAACCGGAAAAAAATGATGTCATGAAAAACTTGAACAACATTTTTTCTTAAGATTTTAGCAATTCGTTCTATCCAGTGAGATTATAAAATAAGTTTTCCCACAAACGACTCAAAATAAGGCCATTTATACTAAAGATTACGAGCCGAAAGGATTTGGGCAGAAAAAGTGTTTTTTAGAAAAAAGA